CCATACTGATGCAGCTGGATTTAAAAGGTCGTGATTCCACTGTGTTATTTTGTGTCCATGAGTTGTGTACATCCAGTCCACAACCTTATTGCTAATCATGCTAAGTTCTGGCACGGATCGTCCAAAAATAGGTATCATGTCGGAATACCGGCACGGGTAAGCAAACCTCTTCAGCATTATACACAGGCCCTGGACTCCATCGAAAATTGTTCCATCGCGGCATTCGAATATAGGACGTACTCTTAATGCGTCAAGAAGCAAAGGAATATCCCTCTTTTCCACTCGGAAATCGGCTTTACATTCGGCTGGGTCTTTATTCGCGAGGGAAAACTTTCCATACGCCGGGTGAGGAAAAGGAGGATTACTCGGCCTGTATGCTTCGTAAAGCAGAACAAACTCTTTTTTGTCTATGATCTCTTCCATTAGACACAAGCAAAGCACTTCTTGGACTATCTTAAATAATCCCATGGCTATTTCTGCGAAAGAATTGCCGAAGAATCACACTGATAAAGAGCGATTCGCAGCAACGTCGTCTTGCATCGCGACGAGGATCTTAACTTTACTTTTGCCGCGCAAACAACGACGTTCTAGTCCCAGTCCTTTATCAGCCACCACGTTCTAGAAGTCCCTAGTATTTGTAGCCTGACTGCGTGATGTTTCTTGAGAAGTGAAAATTTTTTACCTTTTTTTCCAAGGTAACACTTCTAGAAAGTTCTTAAACCTTCTTTTATTTTATTTGCCTGTTTTTTTTACTGCAAATATCGCCTGCATTTGCCATTATTTTCGCTGAATGTCACGGCCTTTCCAGCGTACACGAGCGAGCCAGTTGGTAGGCAGTACTTTTTCGTGTTTTATTGCGTGGTGTCGGGTTTAGGTGGTAGGTCTGACTCAAAATATATCTGCACGCTGCAAAAGGGCAAGCCACACGGGTTCCTTGTTTATTTGTATTTTAATTGTCTTTCTTGCAATATCATAGATGTATGTTTTTGTTTTCATTCCCTTAGCTTAGCGCGTTCCCTCAGATTTGGAAGTAGGCTATGAAAAGTCAATATTGACCAGAACTGAAACTCTTTCTATCACTTTTTGTTTAAAAGAACCCCTGTTACAAACGCTGATAAACACTGATGAAAATGGCAATATTGATATCGGCGCTATATAATAATTGTTATATTAAAGAATAAGTTCATTTCTCCCAGTAAATTAAAGAAGGGGTCAATGTTTTGTAACACCCGAAGATAGACATCTCTGAAACGTAATGTAACTTTCAAAGAGTTCACACTTCTGTTAATTTCCTCCCTCTCGCAACAGCGCAACAGACATTGTTTATTCTATGTAGTGTACGTGTATCAGTTGTATTACGTCTTCGTAGTGATGCCATATAAGTAATCTAGTGTCTAAAAAGCCCTCAATTTAACATTCGAATTGATAGAGTAACGATGGCGCAGTTGTCTTGTTCATTTGAACCTAACTGCGGAATCAAATATTACTTTTCTCGTGCTGGCCAGGGACGGCAACAGCTCATACCCCGTAATTCGTGGGTGTACAGCATAAAAGAGAGACGTCAGTGTATCCCAAACATGCGTTTCGTCAGAGAAGCTTAATTATTCCAGCTCGTATTGACTTAATTGGAGCTTAGGAACCCCGCCATTTCACTTTATGCCTCAAATATTGCGCACGACGTGGTGTTAGATTCAGACTTTCGGATTCGTAGATCTAGTATCCTCCTAATAAAAATCGGAGACGTAAAGTTGAGAGAGAGGTAAATCTGAAGATGGCAGAAGAAATCAAAGCTGGTGGCTGGTCTTCTTAGTGGCGAGATGACTCTAGATCTAATAAAACGCGTACTGTAACTGCTATCTTAGAGTTGGCAATGAATAAGGAAGAAGGGCAAGAAGAGCACTTATCTGAACATCAAATGGTGAAACAGAGAATTAACTCTGAAGTGTAAATTAAAGTGCTACTTAAACCCATGAATAACCCACAGGGCGTTAGCCCTAATAAAGGGAAACAGGGAACCACACGAGGCAAAGAAAAAATCTTTTTGACCTCGGTGGGAATCGAACCCACGACCTCCGGATTAGAGTGTGATTTGTGACTGAGATGAACTTTATATCGTATGATTGCTGGGGATACGCAGATACTGTAAAGGCGCTCATATAAATAGAGGTGGCCAAGCTTTCCTCTGTTTTTGGAACTGCGACAAGCTTATAGCGCAGACCAACTGGCGCAGTTTGGAACACCTCAGGGCCTCGCTAGGCTCATATAAAAACCTTCAGCAAACCAATCGTAGAGGCGGGTGGTTATCAGTGTGCACGAATCACTGAACCCAGGTCATCGCGAGAACTATACCCAATCCGTTACAGACAGAACAAGAAAGCGAGATATTCTTGTTAAGAAGAAGGATTTATTAAGAAGCTTTAGTCTTTTACTGCCTTCCGGGCAAAAAGCACCTGAACATGGGTGAACACAAAGTGAAGCTAACAAAAAAATTATCCTATGATGAAATCAAGAGGAAATCGACGGAGGTTTGCCATTCTGTAAGGGATGGCTACGTTCAAGGTTGGACCTGAGGCAAAATTCTGACGAACAATCCCTAACTAGCCAGGTGGACTTTGGATGGGCTCTTTGGGAAACACAAAAAGCAGTAGCCTTTCCTCAGAAAGCAAAGAATTATCTCCTAGACGTGTGCTGGACAGAGGCGGAAACTAGTAGGCCAACCGCCTCTTATGTGGCTTCCCAAATATCGAGTTTAAGAGACGATATCGGCTAGAAATGTTGTCTAAGACTAACTGGTTGATGGAGCAGCAAATCGCTCGATACTTCAGCCGGTTATCTGTCCTAACGAAAGATAGTTCATTGAAGAGGTCCTCCTCTGTAAGTATGAATGAGGCCGATGCCGATGATTTAGCTTGCAAAATGTAGACGAAGACTGCAGGAGCTACTGTTAGGCTACAAAAATACAGACCTTTGCATCTCACTTTTCTTTCAAATTTATCTTCTTTTCCCACGAAAACAACTGGCTATGTCTTGGGATTTTTTCATTAAGGGAAATTTGCAGGAAGTCTGCTGGCTCATTCTTTAATTAATTTTACAAGTCACACAATCAAACGCCGGCAACACTCGATCGAGAGAGATGTAGATTTACATTTAGTAGTAGAGTACGTGAAAAAAATTGAAGATACTTTACGATCGAAGTAAGCAAATAAACATAAGAGATCTGTAGAATATTCTGAAATTGTTGTCTAGCAGAGAGCATGAACACGCGCTTAAACAATTCTTACGGAAAGTTTTCGGGTCACGCTACAGATGTTAGTTTGGCGGAGTTCTGCCTGGAAATGTTCGATGGCCGTACCTAACGACGACAACTTTTCGAAATAGTAGCACAGGTTTTAGTTTGATAGAGCTATTGATATTAACTCTCAAGCGAGAACGCAGAATTTCTCGTCTGTAACAGCCAATGTTGTCGCACATTGGAACTTGCAATAATGTCAACCAACACGCACTGTGGTTCCTTTGCAAGATTGACAGAATTCGAACTGCGATGCGAAGTATATTACGTGGTGTCTTTTTAATTTTTATGAACTTTTGTGGCCTTTACGGCTCGTGAAAAGAATGCTAATTGGCTTTACGCAAACTTAGTTTGCTGGCACTATTTTCAACCAGCTCAAATGCATGGAACGTCTTATAAGCCCATGCTAATTGGCTTTACGCAAACTTAGTTTGCTGGCACTATTTTCAACCAGCTCAAATGCATGGAACGTCTTATAAGCCCATGCATTCTCAAGGTTATTAACTTCCCTGGTTAACAAAGCTTACTGAAAGTTCTTAAAAAAACGCATGAAACAAACAAGATAACCAGAACTTTTCTCTGGCCTGTAATTTTTCATTTGCGGGCAAGTGCTACGAGAGAGAAGGAAAATTACGCTTGTCACAGAATTTAAATCATTTTTTTTCCGAAATTCTAGCTGCACTTAACTTACGTGGGTCCCCTGTAAGATTGACAGAGGTCGAACTGCGATGCGAAGTATATTACGTAGCGTCTTTTAAATTGATATGAACTTTTGTGGCCTTTACGGTTCGTGGCAAGACTACTAATTGGCTTTACACAAGCCTAGGACGCTGGTACTATTTTTAACCAGCTCACATGCATGGAACTTTTGAAAAGCCCAATTTTGCTCAAGGTTATTTACCTCCCTGATTAACAAAGCATATAGTTTTTTTTAAAAAATTGCAAAACGCGTGAAACAAACAAGATAACCGGAACTTTTCTCTGGCCTGTAATTTTTTATTTGAGGGCGGGTGCTACGAGAAAGATGGAAAATTACGCTTGTCACAGAATTTAAATCATTTTCCTGAAATTCTAGCTGTACTAAACCTATGTGGGTCCTCTGTAAGATTAATGGAGTTCGAACTGCGATGCGAAGTATATTACGTAGCGTCTTTTAAATTGATATGAACTTTTGTGGCCTTTACGGTTCGTGGCAAGACTAATTATTGACTTTACGCAAGCCTAATGCGCTGGTACTATTTTTAACAGCTCACATGCATAGAACTTTTGACAAGCCCATGCTTGTTCAAGGTTATTTACTTTCCTGATTAACAAAGCATGAAGTTTTTAAAAAAAATAATGGCAAAACGCATGGAACAAACAATATAACCAGAACTTTTCTCTGGCCTCTAATTTTTTATTTGAGGGTGGGTGCTACGGGAAAGAAGAAAAATTATGCTTGTCACAGAATTTAAATCATTTCTCTGAAATTCTTGCTGCTTTTAACTTATGTGGGTCCTCTATAAGATTAACGGAGTTCGAACCGCGACGCGAAGTGTATTACGTAGTGTCTTTTATATTAATATGAACTTTTGTGGCCTTTACGGCTCGTGGGAAGACTGTTAATTGGCTTTACGCAAGCGTAGTGCGCTGTTACTATTTTTAACCAGTGCAAATGCATGGAATTTTTTACAAGCCCATGCATGCCCAAGGTTTTTTTAATTCCCTGGTTAACAAATGCGTTTATGAAAGTAACTGGTACTTCAGGAATCATCATTCGCACCCAAACACCTCGAGAACATCAAGTCACTAACCGTTTTCGTAGGAAACTATTTCTATGCGCACTAAAGGTGAGTAGAGTCTCACTATAAACTACAAACTTGAAAACAATTTTGCTAATTAACTAATACTTCATCAATTAACTATTATTTCATCCAAATACTCCAAACTAGAAAAAGCTAAGACAAACTAACTGAAAAAAATGTTATGAAATATGTGCTTATTGTTCTTTCGTGGTGCATCAATCGATACTTAATACATACATCAATCAATTTATATAATCAATCGATCTCATCGCCTGATGAAGACTAGTGGTATTGCAGTCATTGCGATCAACATCCAAATTGACTCTATCTTGAGACAAACGAATAAAGTTCATTTCCTAACTGAAAAAATATTATATCGAACTACACCGGAACTACACCAAACCATGCTGAAGAACTTCAGCTACGCTCAGCATCCTGCACCAAAATTCACAAAAGTGCACCAAACTACACCAACTTACTCCAAACTACAACAAACTACACTAAACAACACAGAATTGTATAAACTACGAAAAACTGCAATCGGACTACCATCTGAACTACAGTGTACTAGATTAAAGCTTCTTTAATGCAAAGCAACCTCACTGATTTCACCAACTACACGGACTGAAACTTAAAGTAGGCGGAAGTACACTCAACTCCACCAGATGCTAAATTATCAACCACACTAAACTACGGTCAATTCGTTTCTACCACAACTATCCTTAAAAACTATATAAACTTTTAATGATAAGGTTTTCACGTTCAACAGGTTATCATGTATATTCTCCTTTCGGTGGAAAAAACTGAAGGCAAAAACTTAAAATCACCTTAAGGATGGTCTTCTACGTAGCGGCTGAGAATTGATATGTCAGCACAGTAGCGAAAAATGTCAAGCATCACACTTACACGATCAAAATTTTAAGAGATAAACAGTTGTTACCATGGAGAAAGGTTTCATTCTCAAAAACAATTGAAGTGTGAGCTGTTCAACAATAATTGTTGAAACAATGTTCTGATATCCTAAAGTAGGCGTTTTAGCCTTCACTGACATATTTTCATCTCACAAGAAAAAGAATCATGTCTTATACAGAATTTTCGCCACATTTTGAATCACATTTCGCCAACACAATAACAAGTTTGTGTCATCCTTCACTCGTTCAACTTTCGTAAACTCATAAATATTACAAGAACTGGCCACACGTTTCTCAGTCCTAGTGTTCGAATGCTCATAACAAATAAACAGTACACTTCGGAAGACTTGGCAGCTGTTTCTATCCACTTTCCTGTCGATAGGAAAGATAACAGGAGAAAGAGAATCCAGAGGGGAATAGTATTTTCAGCCGCACGATCGATCATTTTGCACACGCTGGCCGGGTCACCACACTTTTATCACTGGCATCACTGACAGCAGGCGCTGATGGTAGATTAAAGTCATTAATCGGAAAATAATTTGTTCCTTGTTGCCTTTTCAGCTTTACGGGTTGAGTCTGTTGCAAACATCATACAGTTGTGATTTAATAAAAGCGAAATCCCCTGCGAATAAAGGTAAGCCCTTAATGGTTTAAATATGATTGTCATCGTAAAAAGAGGACGACGAAGCGGAAAGTATTAAATCACTTTCATGAGCTAGCCTAAAGGCAATTATGTTGTTATGCTGTCCTCATCAAAATGGCGTCTTCAGGTCCAATTTCAAGAATCTGTCTCGTCCTTGAGTTCCGCGGCATTTTGATCTCGGATCCTAAAGTTAATTCCCAAATCTCCTGAAAAGCTAATAGAGAGAAAAATGATTCGTTTGCGGTAAAATTTTGCGATTAAAAGGAGTGTGAAAGTAAGGCGAACTCGTCATGTCCGAACTTGATAACAAGGAAACATAACTCGAGGTACGCGCTACTTGTTTTGGGAAAAAAATAGCAAAGATAATTCGGTTAGAAGTGGATAAATATGCTTCTCATTTATCGCCGAACCAGTGTCCGAGTAGAATATGGTTTGATGCAGATTGTTACTGCTGTGTTTGGCCTTTTGTTTTCTATTATCAAATATGTTTCTGATGTGGTTTAAAATATTTGAAGCTTAACTTTTAGTGTGCATCTGCGGTCGCACTAACGGCTAGCAGATGCCAAGCCCGATTTTTTTCATTTTCATTGTAGTATTAAGAAAATTGAAGATGGAAATCTTTGCGAAATTTGCCTCCAGAATTTCGAAATAACTGCTATCTTTGCATTACAATATGCACGCAAAGAGTTGCCCACCAGCGCGGGAAAATATAGTCATACTCACAATAGCGCAAACATTTTTGGTTTATATCGAATACATCGCTAAAAATAAGAAGAGACCTACAGGAACCAGGAGGTTTTCTTTACGACTGATGATTCCTGAGCGTGCACTATTTACAAATAGGCATTCGATGCCGTGAGCAACGACGCAGAAAGATAAGTTTAATTGCGCGCCATTAGAAACTGACAGAGAGGGTTCGAGCTCAGAATTGGCGGCACGACCTCCACCGATATGATCATATGCGTAATAAGCGTTATGCCCAAAATATAAGAGTTTGTATGGGAATATTTACGACCACTCTAAGGAATTAAAAATACAGACAATTTTCAATGAAAAATGCCTCACCTTACTTCCACAGTGTATCGCTTGTTGTCTGAACGCTTACTTTGTTAAAACGAGGCCGTTATAGCGAGTTATCGTTACAAGATTGCACACTCCATTTCCGAAGCGAAAAATCCATACTCAAAATGACCGAGCGGCCACAAATCCAACGCAGAATCTAGCCAAATAATCAGTAGTTTCATTTCAATTCTCTACCAACTTGATCCTCCCGGTGGAACCGACGCCAAGCCGCAGTTTGCTTCCAAAATTTCCAGTTTACACGTTTCTAACCCGCGAACACATTCGCCACGACACGCGACCGTTGAAACCAGCTAAATTGGTGTCAACTTACGGCGTGGTCCCTTACTTTCTAGGAGTGGTCCTAAATATTCCCATACAAACTCTTTCATTTTCGCCATGACGCTTATTACACAGGATGATCGTCTCACAGCTGGAGCTTGGGCCGCCTGTGAGCTCAGAGGCAGTGATGCGAGTTAATTAGGAGCCTCAAACCACAGAGGCCACGTAGAGTTCACTAAACATAAGGAACATGGCACGAGATGCTATTCTAGCACAATTCAGACTCTATAAATATTACAAAAAGAGACAAAGAAATCAAGCAGCAATAAGGAAACACTATTAATGTGACTCGAATTTCCAAAATGACGAAATTCACCAGCCACATTATAATGTAGTCATGGAAGGGAAACTTTTCGCTTGAACAGTAATTGTCAATTAATAAGTCTTAATAGCTGTATTGCAAATCAGACTTTGATCTCGCTGCCCTAGTCAAAATAAAATCCAAAGGATGACTGATCACAAATGAATAACAAAGGCAATTTTCTTCGACAGTTACGTGGAGAAACCAAGATATGAACATATTTCATGAACTTTTCGATGGGAAATAGAACATAATGATAAAGAAATATCAAAAATAAATAATAAAAGGATATGATAAAAATAAATGATAAATAAAATGATAGAAGTAAATGATAAATAAAATGATAAAAAAATAAAATATTTGACATTCCTGCTTCGTAATTATCACTTTTCACAATTGCTTTTTAATCGACCAACTAACACCATTCGATTTCTACGTTAGGAGACAGCCGAGAACCCAAATCCTCGCAAGTTTCTGTTGAATCTTACCATAAATTTCCTCAGATCTTTACTTTGCCAGAAGAAAGATGTTTTTCAGGAATAGTGATTTTCATGGATTCTTATCTCTCTTTATATAGAAGTTTCCCAGAACCTGCTGCTCCGACTCACAGTTTTCATTAAGACCATCCACCACCTTGAAATTACTTCTTTAGGCCATTCACGACAATTTTTTGTGTATGTTAAAGAGCAATGTGATCATTGGTTCACCAATCTGTTAAGTATCTGCTCTCTTCAGGCTCATTAAGCAGGAAGATTGAGGCGAATCTTTTGCATGCAAAGAATCCGGAATTTTCGCAAAACATTTACAAAGCCTTTTTTGCCAGTCCCGCTTTTGTCTTAGAAAATATATTTTTAATCACATCAAAGAATGGAAACGACGGTTACTCCATAGTGTGTTTACCACATGATTTGACACGAACAGTATGATATTTATCATTAATTTTTCTTTTGTGTTAGCTAATCAGAAAATATTGATAGAACAAAGCCCCTGAGATGTAACTTCTAAAGCATAACGGGTTCATTTTTTTTCTTAATTCGGATCTTGAATGTCGATGAAAGGAGGAAAGGAACCCGTCGGTTTCATTTTGATCAGGGGCACTGCTAGTAGACTATGTTAAGCGGATTCGGAACAGGACGATAATAGTTGTCAACAAAATAATTTTCGTATCTAACCCTAAGGGAAAAGAAAGAGAGACTAATTGATCTACTTTTGTCACGAGAATTAGTCGCAAAAGTAGCGTGACATGAACGGACAAATTAACCTCCGTTGTCCTATAGACAGGGGTTCCTTTTTGTTGTAAAGAGCTCAGAAATTAATGCAGATAAAAGATAAAATATTTTTTATTTATTAAGGTAAATATTGTTTTTACGTTGAACTCTTGCACCTTTATATGATTTTCATGCAAGGATTGTGTCCATTTTCTGGGACAAGCCCCTCAAAGCACTCCTATGCTTTTGAATCTCTAACGAAGGGCCGACTTGTAAAACGTCAGCTTTCTTTTCTAACAGCAGCACAAAAACTCTCAGCGGTTTCTAAGCAATTAAATTTTTAGTTGATGAATAAACCAAACACTCCCCTTAGAGCCTGGGAACATCCGGTTGTGGATCCATCCGAGATGTACTAGTTTTTATCTTAAAAGATATGTAGTTGGAACGCTATTAATACAGTGTAACTGTCTCCAGGCTCGATTACCGCAAGTTCAGCATTAAAAAAAAAGGACGTCGAAGCACTGATCAAGAGCACTGGACTTTATGTTGATTTCCAATGATTTATCTTTATTACAATATGCCAATGCTCAAAACCGTCAAAACAAAATACAAATAAAAATATCTAGTCCATGCGACGCGAAAGGACAAAGCCGAACAATAATTGGATGTGATAAAAACACGAACACACGAAACGGCAAAACAACTAAACCCGAAATAAAACTGATGAAATGAAACTAAGAAAGGTAAAAAACACATGCTTACAGATTGTCTCCTCTGTACGCCTGAGTAGTCATAAACGCAGGATCCAAAAACTTCACAATAAACGCGATAAACTTAGCAAACGCAAAAAACACAGACCATGCGCACAGGCGACCAGTAAAGACGCACGAGGTTCTGAAATACGATCTGACGGAAACGTCACTAATATCTAACCTGGACAGTTACAACAGAGATTACTCAACTTTAAGAAGATAGCATTGATATTAAATTTATTTCTAAGGTCTACTTCTTACCTTAATATATATATATTATACCTTAATATTTATATTGGATGAAAAGCTTTCAATAAAAAAGAGATCACTCAACTGAGCAAGAATATAGTATTGATACTATTTTTATTTCTTAGAAGATTTAAGACCCCACATCGAATATATCGAGCCTTTATTTTGCGGAAAGAGGTTTTTTGAAACACAAAAGCTGAATTGTGTGTAAGTCCGGGTCTTAAAACTGGAAGCTTAGCCTGCGTATAATAAAAGTGGAGCTCGCAGCGCGCGCAGCGTAGCCCCATAACTATACGAAATAGTAGTAACCCAAGGAGCCAAAAAAATTTAGACTTATGACCGTAAGGGCATCCTTTGAAGGTGTTACTTCTAGCATGCGCGGCCAACTGTACCACGAGCACTATCTTAGCTATTTCGTAATGGAAGGGCGAGGAAGAAGATAATGTGCAAGCTCGATTGCCTACGTAACTTGGATACCCCAGTAGCGTGCGCTAGGAGACACCGGCAAGATGACAATGAAGTGCGCATACTCGCGTGCCGAGCTTTAGTGCAGCATACCGCGGGCAAACGGTTGGGCATTACACGAGGGCTTCACATGGGCTAGTAGATGTGAAGCTGTGTAAGCATATAATTCGCAACCCGCCTTTTGAGCGGGAAATCAAACTGGCGAGGTTTTAGTTGAACAGTAATTCTCAGTATTTTGCAATTTCTAATCAGCTCGCAAAGCAACAATACTGGCAGAGCTATAGCTTTGTCAAATGGAGGAAATTGTTTTAGTTCAAGTTCGTGGAGAGAGGGTTTTGAGTGAAAATAGGCTGGATAGAAAGAGACAGAGCGACCAAAGAAACCAACCAGTACACAACGTAAAGAAAGTTAGAAAAGGCGCCAAAATAGGCAGAATATAGCGAGAGGAACGCGAAGAAAACGAGAAAAGGCATAAGTAAAAAGGCAAATATCTAGCGAAAAGTAACACGAGAAAGAAATTCGAAGTCGCTCCTGAAAACAGACTGAAAAGAGATCATCAACAAAGACAAGCAAACTACAAAGGATCCGAGAAAAAAGAGGAGGTAGGTCGTGTCTTAATTTGGTTTTTTTGTACGCTAAGGCCTAGGAAAATTCCAACCTTTTTTTTACCAATCGTCGTTTGATACTAACTTCAGTTTTTAATTAAACTGATCACATTTGGGTAAAACATTGACTTTGGCATTTATCGCCTAAAAGCCCTTACGCCAGTTCATTGCTCGAATAACATTTCATAGGGTTTGTATTCTTCAGCTTATTTCTTGTCCTATTGTTTGGAATGTGTAATATAGTCGTGGTGTTAGGGGAAAAGAAGTTATCTTTCTAGGATTTTGTTTTGTTTTCAAATTATGGCGAACGGCGAGCGCAATTTTCTACTTTTTTCTCCCTTCAGTTATTCAGTAAACTATCGCAGGATTTACATTATGCATTTAAAAGAATCGCGCTTTGTCGAAAATCAAAATGAGATTAAGTTAGCGATGTTCAAGTTACATTAAGTCTGACGCGGTAATTCGATTTTGACAATATTGTCATGCAAGAACCCGTCAAACATCTGAGAATTTAATTACGTACCGCATATGTGTGGTGCAAACAAACTCACAGGTAAAACAGAGGTAGTGCTACAGCGGGATGAGTGAATTTCATTGTTTGGTTGTCTTACTTTTCAGCGCTATGTTTTCATGCTTTCTACTCGATTCGTTCCAACTTCAGGAAATGGTTTGTCTCACAAAACATGGAGCCACTTTCTCTTCGCTCAATATCTCGAGGCGTACTTATTGCTCGGGTTATGATAAACATACTTGCGATACGATAATTTTTTCTTAATGCTGGAAACTGTGGAATCAATGTCTGGAATTGATAGTCATTACATTTTGCAAGAAGCGTTCGACTTTTGATTGTGTAATTAAACGGGGTCCTGGCAATTTGAGCTCACATGCACGCTGGTAAGCACATGGTTAGCGTAAACAATTGTTGCTTACAGTTCTCGAATTCAAGAGCAGGTGTTGTGAAAAGGTTTGCTTAGCTTTTTCATTGTTACACATTTCTTTTTCGAAGAATCTTGCTTATCCGGTGCATGCTGAATTCTAATTTTTCAACCAAATTTTCTTTTCTTTTGAATATTCTGAGATCTCCTAGCATCAGTTGATATTCATGTGATTAAAATAATTACATGAAATCTTCCAGATATATAGCACATAATTTTTTCCTCTGATCCTCTTAACATTTTATTATGTGAAAATACTGGTATTGGCTCTAAAAGTGTAGTCAAATTAAAGTTTTTACGCACATCCTATGCATCAAATTTGTGTTATAAAATGTTGTATCCTTCTTAAAACTAATTAAACAGAATAAGAATGAGTTACCAGGCACAAGTATGGCTTCCACGATGATAGTTTCCAAGTTTGAAAAAAGTCACAGCCTACTAAAATCCTCAGTTCCTTTGCCCTGACAGCCCAACCTCATCAAAACATTGCCAACAGGAGCGATTAGCAAATTAATAATACAGACAAGAGAGCCTATTCCCACATCCACCCCCCTCAATCCCTTTAGCTAATTATGGACATAGCATTTCAAACGTAGTGAATATGCCACAAGTTTTCCATTTCCCTGACTAATTATTTTGAAATAGTGTTTATAAGTTGTGGAAAATGGTTTGGTTGAAATGTAATACGAAGACTTGCCAGCAGATAGTCACATGAAAATTTTTTGCATATTAATAAAATTTGTCGTTGCGTTTCATGTTAACAAGTGGCAACAACTCCACCTTCCAGTAAATTCAATTATTGACAAACGTGAGAAAAAACCATCTAAAACTTTTCAACCTATTTAATATCGCCAACGACATTATCAACTCAACTTTTAAACTAAAGAAAAAACTTGATTGAAGTTTAAAAATTAATTTCTGTAATGTAAAAATGAATTTTCCAATTCTTTTTTTTCCTGCAGTGTGGCATTCATAACGCAGAATATTCCCCTCGAATTCTTGTCTGGAAAATTAACCAAAACCGAAACTATACTTTGCTTTAATTTTGACCCAAATAGTTGCACGAATGTAAGAAAGAGAAAATAAGGCTAAACATCAGAAACACTTATTGTGAGGCGTTTTTCTCGGCTAACTGCAATGTATTGTGATAGGAAACGTCGTTCCGCCATGATGAATTTTTTTAGCATATGCTAATTTAGGTGTTGATTGAAAATTACTCCACTGCAACCTTGACCGCACCTTGACCTTGACCTTGACCTTATTATCAAAAGATTAGCCGGCTATAGTATAGTTTCCCTCGCAACTGCTGTACATGACAATATCCGTAGATTTTTAAGTCAGTATTTTGAATCAATCACTTGACACTCAGATCTTATGACCAGAAACAATAGCTCAGCAGGTGCATTCTTTACCTTTCTCAAACGTACTCTACCAAACGACAACGTGAAATCGTCAAAATTTTTGTAGTCTGAGAACCGAAGCCCTGACTGCAAATTTTTAAAGTTTGCATTTGTACTACGTTGGTAACATAGGTATTGCTAAAAGTTGAGGTGTAGCGCCTTAAGGGACGTTAAACATTTGAAGCCATTCACGATATTTGAACCATAAGTATTTATTTATTTTTAAGCGAAGTTTTTCTCGTCATGACTGCTTAAGGTCCCTGATATCATCTGAAGACAAGGACTACAAGGTCATTTGGCACATGTGACTCAGATAACATGAGTTTCATTTATTTGTTAACCCCTGGGAAATGTAGTTAAAAACTGGGTTAAGATAACCCAGGGTTGGTGTGAAATCTGATTTCAGATCTGTAAGCTTTAAAAAAAAGCTCAGAGTGATTTTCTGCAATTTGATTATTGGATGCCCTCACAAGAATAGAGAATTACTGAAAAAATGTATGAAAAAAGCTTTTGGAAAAAAGGAATAAGGAAACCGGATGATAATTTAACCATATTTTGGTGCTTATCGTCCTTCGAGCAACTGACTGGATTAGAGAGTCCATGAGGTGGTGGCTTTTTACGGCTAACGGTTAAAATTTTGGCCTTTTTACGGCTAACGATTATTATCAATACCTTGCTGTCACCAGAAAATTTTTTACGGTTAACTCCTTATGTGACTAAAGGTTAAAATTTGTCAATTTTAACGCCTAAGTACTAAATTTTTAACGGTTAACCCCATGTAGACCCTCTAATAATACTAAAATTTAATGAGAGAGCCCAACTCGCCCAGGCAGTTTTTAGTGGGACCCTCGAGACGTAATTCACATTTTTAATCTGTAACCATGGCATTTCTTTAGCTTTATTTAGCAATTATTCCATGAGAACGAAATTTATATGAGTCATCCTTTAAGTATTTTATTTTCAGGAAGCGTAACTGTTATTTTATTGCAAACAACCAAACAAATATCTCAAAATTTGCCACAGAGAGTGCGGAAGCAAAACAAGTTTCGTACATTCCGCGAAAAAGGTCCATAGCTTATGACCAAGGGTCGAGACCATAGCCTCGATTCCAATCAAAATTCAGAAGCTGAGAAGATTTCAATATTTATATCAACAACGGAACAGATACTTAAAAGTATTGTTTGAGTAGCTTGCTCCGTAAATGTTGTCGAAGTTGAATTATTTATTGGTAAGGCAAAGCGTAATGTTTGTGAAACTTATTAGATATTTGCACTACGTGATTTTATGAGAATATCCGTGACACCAATAATCACAGATGTTTTCACGGTGTTTTAAAAACGTATAATTATCAGCTGGTTGAGCGAAAAGCGAAAAGGTAAATCAACAGTTTAAATACCCGTACTAGAATAAGCTTTATGTTTGAAAAGTGTCGAATTTTCCAGGGGCTATGTTCAGCAATTTATTATTTATGACAAAATTTCTATCCAGAAAGGTTACCTATTTAAATTTGAAAGGCTTTAGTCGCTTGCTGAATAAAACTTAAAACTCAAATTGTCTTTTGTTTCACGACAAACCATGCACCAATCACATTTAAGAAAAAGTGCTACCTGCGGTTCACGGAATATCATTAAAGGTAGGGTTTCGCTTACCCCCCTAGGGACCAGACAAACAAAATGAAAAGCTAGACGTGTTAACTTCGGATGATTTTAATTTGCGGTCAATAGACAGTCGATGAAGACGAATGTCAGGTAAGACACAAACCTCATTGCTAACAATTTATGTTGAGCGAACAAGGACGGTATAATTGGTATTAGCATACCAATTAAAGATATGTTTCTGACCCCTCGAATGTCGATGAACTAAGTATTAGAAAACTTTTGAAAAAGATATTAGGTTGGTACATAACATCTGTGACTTCGTAACAAGCGCTAACTCAGATACATCCGTAAAATAAAATGTTAAGTTTTACTTGGAACTTCAGGGAAAACTTAATACGGAGGCATAGGAGGACACTGGGGTTCGCGATATTGCGACAGCGGACAATTTTTCTTGCAGTACTTCGGTAGCTTTTGCGGCATTTTGGGCGGCACCAAATATTATCTTCCAAGTCTTTCACTGTTTTTCCGAGCCGTTTCTAGTTTTTCTGATTCTTTCGGAAACAGACAAAATTAGAAAATTACCCAACTGAAATTAGATTTGCACAAGTCGAAATTGTTCCAGATTCCTGAAGAATCCGGTATGTTGTAGTACCGAATTCGTTCTGTCGTTTACACACAAGTAGAAAAAATCCGAAATAAACCTCCTCTCTTTCGTCGTGTCTCCGGTAATTTTGAATCTGAAATCTAAAATTGGAACTTCGAATCCGAACACTTTTGAGTTCGGGACGTTTGAACATTTATTATGTCTGAAAAGAGTTGAATTGTCCTGAGGCTATGTTCAACAATTACTCGTGACAAAGGCTTTAGTCGCTTACTGAATAAAACATAAGACTCAGAATTGTCTATTGTTTCACGACGAACTATGCACCAATCACATTTAAGAGACTTTTTTGGGAGTACATGCTCCGATACTGAAAGCGCTATCTACAGTTCACGGAATATCTTCAACGGTGGGATTTCCGAGAAACAAAATGAAAGCTAGGAAGTGTTAACTGTGGACGACTCTCAATTTGCGGTCAATTGGCAGTCGATGTAGACAAGTGTCAGGTAAGACACAAACTTCATTGCTATTAATTTGTGTTGAGCGAATAAGGGCGAAAATTAACATGCCAGAGGTACGTTTCTGACCCTTCGACTGTCAATGAAGTGAACAATAAAAAAGGTTTTTACAAAAGATTTTAGGTTGACACATAACATTTGTGAATCCGTAACAAGGGCTCACTCAGATATATCCAGGAGATAAATGCTATGTTTTAGTTAGAACCGTAGGGATAACGTAATAAGTATGCATACGAGCTCGAGGACATTGAGGTTTGCGATATTGCGCCGATAGTAGACAATTTTTCTTAGAGTATTTTGATAGTTTTTGTAGCACTTTGAGCGGTATCAAATATCCTTAAAGTCTTCCAATGTATTCCGAGCCATTTTCAGTTTCTGATTCTTTCGGAAACAGACCAAATTCGAAAATTATCCAACTGAAACTAGATTTACACGAGTCGAAATTGTTCCGGATTCGTTTCGCCGTTTACACGCAAGTAAAAAAAATCCGAAATAAAACCTCTTCTCTTTGGTCATGTCTCCTGTGATTTTGAATCTGAAATTTAAAGTTGGAATGTCATATCCGTAAAATTTTCAGTCCAGAACGTTTGGATATTTACAAATTCTAAGTTGCTATTTCCGTGTTGTTTGTACTGTGTATATTTTTGGCGATATTGAGGAATGTGCTCGTTCTTTTTTTCAGTAATGCAGCTTTCAGAACCCAGAATATCCCCCTCCGAATTCTTGTCTTGAAAATTAACTAAAACGGAAAATATGGTTCGCTTTAATTTTGACCCAAATAGTTGCACGAATGTAAAAAAGAGCAAATAAGATTATACATCAGAAACATTAAGAAGCAAAGAATAAAAGCTTTGTTCAATTAAGATTCTTTCTCGGCTGACTGCGTTGTATTGTGATCCGATGCAATACTTCGTGTAAAGAACATGTGAGAACTATCATACTACTTTTGCCCGCATTCAAAAATGTTTAAATCTTTTTATTCTCCTCTTAAGCTTGGAATGGAAAAGGAGCACCAGTTAGCAGTGGAAGATGAAATTTCTCAAAGACATAAAGAACAGGATGTAGATGTTGAGTTCATCTGCACGTTGCAGAGGATTTCCGTGGAACTCGTGAAAGAGTTGTCTCTTTATCCACTCTCCAAAAGTGATGATTATCCTGGTAAGCGTTCCCAATTTCCTGGTGTCTACCTTATATATTACGATGGTGAGACTTCACTCTATGGAAACCGGGTCCGTCCGTCAAAGGACAAGCCAATCTACGTGGGAATGTCTAAAACAAGTGTCTTAGAACGCCTGAACTACCACCGCGGCAGACTGGAAGAGGCGAAAGACTTACAGGTGCAAGATTTCAAGGTACGGTTTATGAGTTTGGAAATAGACGACTATGCCCCCTGTATTGAGGGGATGCTAATAAAGTACTATGAACCTTTTTGGAACTGTAGGAATGGCTCGGAAGTAAACCTCTCTTTTGGAAACAGTAAAAGCAATAATAACACGTGGTACAAATACCACATTGATGAAGATAAGAAGATAAGAGAAACTGTAGACGGTGTAAAACCTGCAAAACCTACAGGCTTGAGAGTCCTGGTTTTTCCACGTATTTCTGATATCGCCATTCAGCTACTGCGCTGGAGTTTCGCGATTTTTCCACGTATTTCTGATATCGCCATTCAGCTACTGATGCGTAGGAGGCGCTCGGCGAGCTCGGCGGGTGTGGCGGGCTTAGCGGGCGTGGCGGGCGTGGCTGGCGTGGTTGGCATGGCGGGTGTGGCGGGCGTGGCGGGCGTAGTAGGCGTAGCGGGCGTGGCGGGCGTGGCAGGCGTGGCAGGCGTGGCGGGCGTGTGCTTGGCAGGCTAGGCGGGCTCGGGGGCCTCGACGGGCTTAACAGACTCTAGGGGCTCGAGAAACTCGGCGGGCTGGACAGGCGGAGACAAGTTAATTGAAACTGTAGAAGGTGTAAAACCTGCAGAACCATTAGAATCAACAGGCTCGACAGGCTCGACAGGCTCGACAGGCTCGACAGGCTCGACAGGCTCGACAGGCTCGACAGGCTCGACAGGCTCGACAGGCTCGACAGGCTCGACAGGCTCGACAGGCTCGACAGGCTCGACAGGCTCGACAGGCTCGACAGGCTCGACAGGCTCGACAGGCTCGACAGGCTCGACAGGCTCGACAGGCTCGACAGGCTCGACAGGCTCGACAGGCTCGACAGGCTCGACAGGCTCGACAGGCTCGACAGGCTCGACAGGCTCGACAGGCTCGACAGGCTCGACAGGCTCGACAGGCTCGACAGGCTCGACAGGCTCGACAGGCTCGACAGGCTCGACAGGCTCGACAGGCTCGACAGGCTCGACAGGCTCGACAGGCTCGACAGGCTCGACAGGCTCGACAGGCTCGACAGGCTCGACAGGCTCGACAGGCTCGACAGGCTCGGAATTAATATATTCATTTTTAAGCCAGGTTTTTCTCGTCCTGGCTGCATAAGGTCCCTAATATCATCTGGAGACAAGGACTAGGAAGTCATTTGGCACACTTGACTCAGATACCACGAGCTTCCTTCATTTGTTAACACCTGGGCAATGTTGTTCAAAACTGGGTCAAGATAACCCAGGGTAAGTGTGAAATCTGATTTCAGATCTGTAAGCTTTGAGAAAAAACTTAGTGTAATTTGCTGCAATTTGATTATTGGATGCTCTTAAGAGAATAGATAATTATATGAAAAATAATTTTGAAAAGGCTCTTAAAAAAAAGGATTAACGAAACCAGGATTAAAATTTAATTTTATGTTGGTGCTTATGAGCCTCCGAACATCTAAATGAAAAAGGGAGGCTCAATGAGTTGCTGGCTTTTTAAGGCTAACAATTAAAATTTTGACCATTTTACGGCTAACAGTTATTATCATTCCATTGTTATCACCACAAATGTTTTTACGGATAACTTTTTTGTGACTAACGGTCTAAAATGTGTCAATTTTTACGCCTAACAGCTAAATTTTTGGCCGTTTTACGGCCAACTATTAACCCCATTTAGACTCTCTAATAATAATGTTTAACGAGGGAACCCAACTCACTTGGGCAGTTTTCAGAAAAACCCTCAAGACGTATCTGTAATTCGTATTTCTAATCGGTGACCACGACATTTCCCAAGCTGTATTTAGCAATTATTCCATGAGAGTGAAATTGACGCGAGTTAGCCTTTAACTATTTCTTTTTTAATAAACGTAATTATTATTTTACTGCAAACACCCAAACAAATATCTCAAAACTTCCCACGGAGAGTGCAAAACAAGTTTCGCACATTCTACAAAAAGGTCCATGGCCTATGACCAAGGTTCGAGACCATTGCCTCGATTCCAATCAAAATTCAGCGACTGAGACGATTTCAATATTTATATCAACAACAGAACAGATGCTTTAAAGTATTGTCCAAGTGGCTTCCTTCGTAAATGTTATCGAAGTTGAATTATTCATTGTAAGGCAAATAATAATGTTTGTGAAACTTATTAGATATTTCCACTAAGTGATTTTATGAAAATCTCCGTGACACTAATGATCGCGATGTTTTAAAAACGTGTAATTATTAGTTGGTTAAGCTAAAAGCGAAAGGGTAAATCAGTAGTTTATATACCCGTACTAGAATAAGCTTTATATTTGAAAAGTGTCGAATTTTCCTGAGGCTATGTTCAGCAATTTATTGTTTATGAAAAAATTTCCATGAATAAAGGTTATCTATTTGAATTTGAAAGGCTTTAGTCGCTCGCTGAGTAAAACATAAGACTCAGAATTGTCTTTTGTTTCACGAAAAACCATGCACCAATTACATTTATGAAAAACTGCTGCCCGCAGTTCACGGAATATCTTCAAAGGTAGGGTTTCGCTTACCCCCTTAGAACCAGAGAAACAACATGAAAGGCTAGAAGTGTTAACTGCGAATGATTTTAATTTTCGGTCAATTGGCAGTCGATGAAGATGAATGCCAAGTAAGACACAAACCTCATTGCTAACAATTTATGTTGAGGGAATAAGGACGGTAATATATAGATTTAGCCACGCCTAAGAGCATAGCTCTTGTTAGTTTATTTTTTAGCACCTCATCAAAATATAAACTGTAATAAAACTTTTCAGCACTGGCTGTAGAAGTGTTTCTTCAAGGGGATTAAGAGACCAGTCCGGGGAATGGGGAGGGAAGGGAAGAATTGGCGAGGTCTGAAACCTGGGGACGATGTTCTCACAACTTGCGATAAAACGCATGCTAGCCAGCGCTATCTTCAAGCAGCTGAGGACCTTCGTTTTTGTTCGTGATGTTTTGAGCAAATTTTCGACGATAGAGAATCTTTTCTTCAGAAGAAGAAGTGTGCGATGTCAGCATCAGTTGAAGTTATATTCTTTTGAACGTGACTGATAATTTTGGTTCGGGAGAATGAGAAATTGAAAGGAACGACGGTAAACTACTTTGAGTTCGGACATCACCAGTCGTTTGAAGAGTATACAAGTGATAACAGTGAATTAGTAAATCAAGACGCCAGAATCGTATGGGCTTCTCTTATATCTTCTCTTGAAGTTGCCAGGTATGACTGCTTGCCCCACCATTTTTTCCCTAATGTTTCAACCTCTTCTATCTCGCGTAAAAATTAAAAAGAAAAGTCGTTTTCAACTAGTGTTTGAACATGTAATTTCTTAAAACTTTTCCTCTTTTGGCTATTATCGTTTTATTATTGTCCTCTGGCTGGAAATACAAGGCGTCTTTTTTACATTCTTTCTGTTATTTTATTCGGTAACCTCTGCTGTAACTACTTATAATGTAGCTTTCTTTGGGCCAACTACCCATGATCTTAGCGACTCTAGGTAATGAAGTACGAAATTTGTCTAACATGTTTCCTACGCTGCAAAAGTTTGCTTAAAAAGAAGACAAGCTAGAGCTAAAATTTGATGATCAAAACTTGATGACGAAGAGAGACCTAGGATTCGATCATGAATACATTTGTGAAAAACTTGAGATAATACCTGGATTTCATTTAGCATCACAGAAATCAATTCCAAACATCAATCAAGTTTTCTCTTTAGCTTTAAAGTTGAGTTGATGTTGTTATTGGTTATATCAAATGGTTTGAAAAGATTTTTGATGGTATTTTATCATGTTTGCAAATAATAGAAACATAATGAAGCATCACTCATGCCCATTATGCCGTGTGGCACGTAGGCGGCTACGAAGGATCGCCACGTCTGTCGGTTCCAGGCCAGCTTCTGGATGGTACCCCAAGTGTGTTGCATGGTCTTGAGCTATGCCTCAACAGTTCAGCGCCAGGTGTTTCTTGGTCATCTGCTCTTGCGCTTTCCTTCAGGTGTCCAGTGAAGGGCTGTGCGAGTGATGGCGTCCTGCTCTCTCCTCATGACGTGCCCAATCCACTTCCATCACCTTCCCATGATGATGGTCTCCATGCTGTCTTGATTGCTGTGGGCGAGTAGCTGTTGGTTGGAGATGGTGTCAGGCCAAAAGATTTGCAGGATTCTCCTGAGGTTCTTTGTTTGGAAGACTGACAGCTCGGTTATGTCGCTCTCTTAGGGTTGGACACTTTCAGCAGCATCACTTCTGTCTTCTTTTAGCTGATCTTCAGGCCAACTCGCTGTGCGTAAGTGCTGAGTCGGGTCGTCTTTTCCTGGATGTGTTGGTGAGTATGGGAGACCAAGGCTAGATCATCTCCAAAATCTACGTCCTCCAGCGTAAATAAGAGGGTCCATCTGATACCCCATGACTGATCATCTGTTGTGCGCCTCATTACACAGTAAATGGTCATGTTGAAGAGCATTGCCGACATTGTACAGCCTCGTCTGACGCCAGTCTTCACTTCAAAGCTGGTTTCGCTGTTGCTTACTCTGCATGTGAAGTTGTTGTAGAAGCTTTTGATGATGTCGATAATCTGCTGTGGTATCTCATAGGCCCGAAGGATGCGCCACAGACTCTCCCGGTGCACACTGTCAAAAGCCTTCTCAAAGTCTAAAAAGTTTATGTAAAGTTGTCTCCGCCACTCTGTGCACTGCTCTATGATGTTACGCAAGGTGAAGATCTGGTATGTACATCTCTTTCCTTTCCGAAACCCTGCCTACTCTCTTCTCAGTTGTTGGTCCACTGTGTCGGCTATTCGCTGGATGATGATCTTGGCCAGGATCTTGCTGGGTACAGATAGTAAGGTGATTCCTCGCCAGTTGTTACAGTCGTTGAGGGCACTTTTCTTCGGAATCTTCACAATGACTCCCTCTGTCCAATCTTCAGGTAACTTCTTCCCCTCCCAGATGCCTGTAAAGAGTGGCTGAAGTTGGTCTGCTGCTAGCTGTGGATCTACTTTAAATACTTCTGCACTGAGATTGTCTTGTCCAGGGAATCTTGAAGCATGATATGGATAAATTCAATCTCACCCAGTTTTAATGTAGATTCCGAAATCTAATAAACTTACTAGCGAATAGGGAAAAGCTCAATTTGTTTTTCCTACTTCTGTCATTCTAAATATTACGAATCAATCATGCCACCACTTCAGTACGATTTTGTCTAAGAGGTGTACTTTTTCTTATAGTCATCTATTTTTAGCATCTATCTTTAACCAGCTGACGTCTGAGAAGAATCAAGTCCACACTGGTGACTTGACACATTGTAAGCAAACCCTACAACTGATTAAATTTTATTTGAACAAAAACATGACGGGCAATATAAGAAATTGGCTAGCACAGCTCAAGTTTCCCTTCTTAAGTATTCTGTGATCGTTTCTTCCACCATTGGGTAAAGTGAACAGTTTCCCCCATTTCATTGCCTTCTGTTCATCTGTTTGCTTTCTTAACAATCTTAACTATTGTTGCCAACAAGTGCGAGGAGCATATATAATGTGTACAGTTATTAACACTTTAATTCATGAGAGTGACTAGTATCTAATTTCTCCTTTCAATGCCATCCCTAAATCAAGCATTAATGTCATGAGAATAAAGGAAATGATAATCAACTGAAGAACCTCTTGATTGTTAAACAAATTCTCCTTGCCAGCACATCAGGAAATGCATTAAGAAGAATACGGAGAATACGCATACTGATGTTAGGGTGTAAAGAGTTAAAGACATCATGTAATCAGTTTTATAAATGTAGACCAATAAAAAAGGGACCAAAAAAAACAAGAAGTAAAAGAAGTAAAGCGAGTCGATAAAAACACGCAAGATAGTTTGAGAGGACACCACAAAAGGTAGAATGCGGTGAAAGGAACGCGAAAGAGAACAAGAAAAGACATAAGTAAAAAGGCAAATATCTAACGAAGAGCAACGCCAGAAGGAAATACAAAGACGCTCCTGAAAGCAGACCGAGAAGAGGTCATCAACAAAGAGAAACGAACTAAAAAGGATCCGAGAAAGACGAGGAGGTAAGTCATGTCTTATCTGGGTTTTCTCCAACGCTGAGGCCCAGAAAAATGCAAATCTTTTTAAACAATCTTCGTTTGATACTAGCTTCAGTTTATAACTAAAATCACGTTTCGGTAAAACAATGACTTTGGCCTTCATTGCCTAAAAACCCTCGCGCCGGTTCATTTGACTGAGACCAGTATAAGGAAGTTGTAAAGTGGTTAAATTGGTTCTTCTCGGCAAATGTCTTAGATAAATCAGAGGTAAACTGAGCACCACTGTCGGCTATGAGAGTGTGTGGAATTCCGTGTCGGCCAAAATGCTGTTTAGTGACTTGGATGACAGCTGAAGATTGGATAGCTGGGAGTTTGTCAATTTCATAAAAGTCGCTGTGACCTCCCATTTGGCTGAACTAATGTCAAATGGGAGGCGCATCCAACGGTAACGACCCTATGGGGTGTGCATGGTGGTCATCAGAGAAGATTCCTCTGTTAGCTCATTGGTTTGAAACGCGTCCCTGATATCAAACACAGAGTAAATCTTCGCTTGGTAGAACCGGTAAATGTTCTCCTCAGTAGCTAGTAGCAGATGCAGGACGCTCACGAACAACCATATTAGAGATCCAGGCAGTTGGTTCATTTACTCGAACCAACTGACCAGTTTGAATAAGTTTATCCAAGGCCCCCTTGATAATAGGTAGTTTAGGTGCAGCATAACGGTTGGGAGGTACTTGGATGGGCTTCACATCGGGATTGAGGGTGATCGAAAAGGGTTCACTCAGTTTGCCTAAACCCTCTAACAATTCTAGATCTGCAAGTTTGATGTTATCTAAGGCTTACTCACCAAGACTCCAGGTGATTAGCAGTGTCCACGTCATAATGGAAAATGCCCATGCAGATGCTGTCAGCCAATCCTAAGAGGGGGGCATAATTGTGCTCCGCAGTGATTATTTGGACTACAATCTTGTATGATTTCCCACGGCGAGTGCACTGTAATGTGGTTTACCCCGAGGTTGGGATGACTGACTTTGAGTAGTCAAGGAGACGGACAGAGGACAGATCCACTCGTACCAGGGAGAGCTTGTTGAGGTCGGTGACATGTATAGTGTTGCAGGAGAAACCAGAGTCAGCCTGGAATCTGAGCCGTTTGGGAGAGGCTGGTGTAGAAACAGGGGGACTGAGGTCAAGGTAGACAAAGATGCCCTTGAGTGTAGATGAAACTTGACATAACTCATGTGTGATGAAGTAAGCGGACTGAGGATTGCTGTTCAAGTTCTCGTCCCTATCAGATACAAACATTTGATGCAGGACAGTCACGGCGAGTGGCATGTGATGCACGTCCACACCACATACAAGTGTTAGAGTGGTTTTATTCAGGGCGATAGAGCCATTTAGGCTCGTTAGGCTTGTTTCTAGCGCGTCGATAGTAGTAGTGAGAGCGTCCCATTCCGCTCGTGGGAAAGCGCGACGAAGAGCAGCCATAGCTTTGGGACGTTTAGCGGCTATCCAGTAGTCCTAGCTGTTAAAAGCCGGACTTATGTAATCTCTCGTTACACAAAAGTCTCTGACATTTACCACGAAGAACTTGAATGCCCTACGTCGGTCGAATGAGCTTGCATCGATGATAGGTCTATCCTTACCCATTATGCACTGACGGCTCCTGCTAACAGAGGTTGAGATCGGGGAAAAAGAGAGAGACACACACAAAGCAAACAATCGACAGGATCACTCGAGCCACGCCACGTGGAAATCCTTCGAAGTTGGAGCGATGCAATGAGTCTGAGAATGACAAACCTTGTCTATGAGGCGCAGTGAGACCGATGAACGAAGGTGTGAGTTACGATTTTCCTGACACCATGTAGTAAGTCAACAGCAGTCAAGATCCCTACTCAAGTTTATTACACGAAGCAACATGGTCGACTTACATGGGAGAAGCACTGTAAGACAAAGAATCACGGGAGAAAACGCTTTATTGGTTTACATACTTATGTTGATAATTGCTCAAAAAATACCTATAATAGCTTCTTCAGAAGCAAAGACACATAGGTAATATGCTTCTGCTTTATTTTTATTGTAAGGGGTTTCTTTTTATGTAACATATTTCCATTCTTTTAATTTCCTCCTTAACCTACCTGTAAATGATTAGTGCAAACCCAGGGTTAATTTTAATCTAGGTTTCTTTACTCCTTTGTGCGAAAGCCTTTTTGGTATCATTTTCTCTATTATGCATGGAGCATCCAATCATCAAATTGTTGACAAGAAGAATTATACTGAATTTTCTATTAATGCTTTCAGTTCTGAAATCAGATTTCACACTAACCCTGGGTTTTCTTAACCTAGCTTTTAATAACCCAGCCCTGGTCTTTTTCGCAAAGCCTCTTTTATATCCCTGTGTGCCAGCCAATGATAAATATAAAAAAAAATATATAAAATCTTTGTGAACAGATATGCCATGTTTTAGCAGCCTTTTTAAATTCCATTTTTAAGTTTTTTGCATTTTCCATTTTAAAATCCATAAACAGTATTCTCTTTTCATCCACGTAAAGAGATATTACACATTTCTTAAACTAAAATCTGAATCATGAAGTCAACTTAATTTCAATGAGTTTGAAAGTTCATTGTACATAAGAAACTTTACCGGAGTATGTTACATACTAACCCTTTACACCCTAACATCAGTATCCATGTTCTCTATATTGTTCTTCATACATCTCCTGATGGGCTGGCAAGGAGAATTTGTTTAACAATTAAGAGGTTCTTCAGTTGATCATCTTTTCCTTTATTCTTATGACCTTATTATGCTTGATTTAGGATTGATATTGAAAGGAGAAATTAGATACTATTCACTCTCAAGAATTAAAGTTTTAACAACTGTACACATTTTACATCTTCCTCGCATTTGTTGGCAACGATAGTTAAGATTGTTAAGAAAGCAAACAGATTAACAGAAGACAGTGAAATGAGGGAAACTGTAAACTTTACCCAATGGTAAAAGAAACGATCACAGAATACTTAAAAGAGAAACATCTTCACACTCGGCTGAAGTGGTGGTTTGATTGATTTGTGATATTTAGAATGACAGAAGCAGGAAAAACACATTGAGCTTTTTCCTATTCGCTAGTAATTTTTTTTAGATTTCGGACTCTACATTCAAACTGGGTGAGGTTAAATTTATCCATATTACGCTTCATTATGTTTCTACTATTTGCAAACATGATAAAATACCATCAAAAACTTTTCAACCCATTTAATATAGCCAATAACAACACCAAATCAACTTTAAAACTAAAGAGAAAACTCGACTGACGTTTGGAATTGATTGCTATGATGCAAAAATGAAATCCAGGTATTATCTCAGGTTTTCCACATATGTCTTCATGATCGAATCATAAGTCTCTCTTCGTCATCAAGTTTTGATCGTGAAATTTTAGCTCTAGCTTGTCTTCTTTTGAAGCAAACTTTTGCAGCGTAAGAAACATGCTAGACAAATTTCGTACTTCATGCATTAGCTAGAGTTGTTAAGATCATGGGTAGTTGGCTTAAAGAAACCTACACTATAAGTAGTTACAGCAGAGGTTACCCTATCAAATAACAGAAAGAATCTAAAAAAAACGCCGTGTATTTCCAGTCAGAGGACAATCATGAAACGATAGTAGTCAAAAGGGGAAAAGTTTTAAGAAATTACAGGTTCAAACACGGAAAATGACTTTTCTTTTAAATTTTTACGCGAGACAGAGGAGGTTGAAACGTTAGGGAAAAAATGGTGGGGCAAGCAGTCATACCTGGTAACTTCAAGAGGAGATTTAAGAGAAGCCCATACGATTCTGGCGTCTTGATTGACTAATTCACCGTTATCACGTGCATACACTTCAACCGACTGGTGATGTCTAAACTCGAGGTAGTTTACCGTCGTTTCTTTCAATTTTGGCTCATTTTCCCAAACCAAAATTATCAGTCACACTCAAAAGAATGCTACGTTTTAGTTAGAACTGTAGGGATAGCGTAATACGTATGCATAGGAGGACACTGGAGTTTGCGATATTGCGCCAATAGTGGACAATTTGTCTTGCAGTGTTTCGGTATTTTGGGCGGTATCAAATATTATCTTCCAAGTCTTCCAATGTATTCCTAGCCATTTCCAGTTTCCGATTCTTTCGGAAACAGACCAAATTCGAAAATTACCCAGCTGAAACTAGATTTAAACTAATCGAAATTGTTCCGGATTCGTTTCGCCGTTTACACACAAGGAGAAAAAAATCCGAAATAAAACCTCTTCTCTTTGGTCGTGTCTCCTGTGATTTTGAATCTGAAATTTAAAGTTGGAACGTCGTATCCGAAAACTTTTGAGTCCCGAGTGTTTGAATATTTACAAATTCTTAATTGCTATTTCTATGTTGTTTGTACTGAGTATATTGTTGGCGATATTGGGGTATTTGCCCATTCTTTTTTTCAGTAATGCAGCTTTCAGAACCAGGAATATCCTCCTTCAAATTCTTGTCTTGAATGTTAACCAAAACCGAAAATATGGTTCGTTTTAATTTTGACCCAAATAGTTGCACGAATGTAAGAAAGAGCAAATAAGATTAAACATCAGAAACACTGAGTAGCAAAGAATTAAAACTTTGTTCAATTAAGATTCTTTCTCGGCTAACTGCAGTGTATTGTGATCAGGTACAATACTTCGTGGAACGAGCTCGTGTGAACTATTCATCGCTTGAAGTACACTACTTTTGCCCGCACTCAACAATGTTTAAACCTTTCTAATCACCTCTTTAGTAAGCTAGGAATGGAAAAGGTGCAACAGTTAGCAGTGGAAGATACAATTCGTCAAGAATGTAAATAACAGAATGTAGATGACAAGTTTACGTGGATCTTGCCGGGGATTTCTGTGAAATTCGTGGAAAGTTTGCCTCTTTTTCCACTCCCCACAAGTAATGGTTATCTTGGTGAGCGTTCCCAATTTCCTGGTGTCTATCTCATACATTACCCTGGTAAAAAATTGCTCTGTGGAGATCTAGTCAGTTCGTTAAATGACCAACCAGTCTACATTAGAATGTCTTAAATAAGTGTCTTATCTCTCCCCAACAGGCACCACGGCTAAGTGTAAAAAGCGAAATACTTACAAATGCAAGATTTCATGGTACGATTTATGAGTTCAGACATATAGAAGATTATGCCCCCTTATTGAGGGGTTCTTATAAAGTACTCTAGATCTTTGTGGAACGAAACGACAGTAAAGTTCTCTTTTGGAAACAGTGGCGACGAAAATAACGATCGCTAGAAATACCATATTGATGAGGATAAGGATACAATAGAAACCATGATAGAACGTTTACAAATTGTAAAAGGTATAAAAGGTGTAGAGCGTGTAAAAGTAACACGTTTGCACTTTGTAAAAGAAGCATCTAGAAAAGTAACAGGTTCACCCAATCAAAAAAATCCGGTAGAACGTTAAAAGTGGTACGTGTAGAACCCTTACAAGTAGAAGGTGTACACAATCAAAAACGTGTAGAACCTGTAGAATGTGATGAGGAGTATCAATTAGTACAGCAGACCTAGCGCCTCAATCTGACCACACCTTAATTTGTAAATCCGTCATAATTGGGCTTAAAGTTTTTAATTTCAGTTGCATATAAATAATTTTATCACATAAACTGCGGTGTTATACAAGGATTTCCGGCCCTGAGAAAAGCCGTAACAACACACGTGAAAAAATATCGTATTTTTTCACGTGTATTGATATAGCCAATCAGCTGCTTATACGTCACTCGCCTTTGGCGCCACTCGGTCAGGTTGATGAATGAACGGCAAAGCCTTCGCGATTCTCAATACAAGATGATTGTCGGAGTTTTCTCAAATTATGGCAGCTAAAACACTAAAAAATCCGTATCGCTGGCAGACAATGAGGTTTAAACTTTCCTAGAAAGGAAGAAACCCAATACACTAAGAGAAAAACCGAAAGTTGAGTATTCAGTGGCTTTGATATTAGCATTTCTCTCGTCTGAGAATGAAAATCGACAACTGGAAGATTTGCTACTAGCCGATTTTGGCCGTTTACCTGAAAGACTTCTTCTGTCGGTAAGGACAAATTCAATAAATGAGAATTTTGTAAATTGAAAATTACGACCATTGTTGTTTTTGTAATCATGATTCAACGCATTCTTCCATCTTAAGAGTCAGCGCGAACGCACTTAACGATTATTATTCGAGGATTGTCGATTCATTTATTTTCATTCATTAATGAAGTCGGCTTTCTCCCCAAGAAAGGGCTATTGTGTTTATATGATAAACAAAATAATACATGGTTGCTTGTAGATATGGAATTTCTCTTCTCGTGTTCAACTCGCTCACTCGTAAGCTATCGAGTTAAACACTCGAAGAGAAATTCCCTATCTACGCGCGCCCATGTATTATTCTCTATTTATTTGATCTCAAGGGAATGTCTGAGTAATTAGCAACTGCTGGACGAGGTTGAGAAGAATAAAGTAAATAGTCAGTGACAAGTAGGTCAGTTAGTTTTGAACTCCTGAGACTAAGGCATCGACCATCGGGACATATTGAAGAGTCGCCTAAATTTGTGGTAATCCAGTTCAAAAAATGCGTGATCATTCGATCACCAAGTTTGTTGTACATACCTGTTTTGTTTTTGTTTTTGTTTTTTTTGCGGGAATCTCGTCTACCGTCTTTCCCCAACCCCTTCCCCCGTTGTCCCATTTCATTGTCACGCACTTAGGAATCGAGGTGGCATGCGTGGAGCGCACGCTCTGGGGATGAGTGTGGGCACTGACTACGCATGTACAGAATATCAATAGGATCAAACCCGATCAGATAGATCAATCAGATACATTTACTCCGTTTCGGGCATGAACAGACCATTAATCGTTACGCGACGTAGTAAGATCCAAATAAACGAAACTGAAGAAGAGAGATATCGAATGATGACTTTTCATGCCCTTCTGGATCTAACAAACTGTCTGGCTCACCACTATTCCAGATCCTCGTTCAATGAGTCAAGCCGTTCACGGCTAACTCTGTGGGTGGGAGATTATCAGCTTGGCCCCTCTTCGAGTAATCGAACTAGAATGACTGTTTATAAAGAAATAATTCACACTAACACTTTGCAAGTTTGATCCCCTCAAAGAGAATTGACTTCATGTAAATCCATTCTTTTTTCAGGAATGAGGAAGTCTCCAGCCTTTACGCTTTCCCTCAACTCTTTAACCCCTTAGAGAGACTAGCATCTAATTTCTCCTTACAATATCACCCCTTAATCAAACATTGAGGTCATGAGAATAGAGAAAATGATCACCAATGAGAGCAGCTCTTGATTGTTAACCCAATTCTCCTTGTCGGCACCTTAGTAAATGTAAAGAGGACAGTATTGAGAATATGCATACTGATGTTAGGGTGTTAAGGGTTCATTGGGTTGACAAAATTGGAAAATTTCACGAAGCTTCACTATTTCCCCAGTTGGTTTTTCATTGAATCATTCTATTACGGGAACCCGACTCAGAAAGTTAAGCTTTTAGCTGTGGCTTTTACTGGGTCTCTCCACCAACTGTAGTTATTTTTGTTTGTTTGTTTATAAATCTTCATCATGGAAGAACACCTCGGTGAATTGCGCTTACAAAGAAAAACACTTGACTCATGGCAGAAAAAATCATTTGAAACATTAAATACACATTAGGACAAATATACATCACTTCGATTTAACTCGTTAGTTTAAGCGTTACATAAAACATATCCGCTTCACATCTTTCAAAGACTGCTCACTCTTGTGATTAGTCAAAGGTTTGATTGACTTTTGGCACCTTTTAATGGTTTTCTTTGCCGACACTAAAAAAACTCATGTTGCCAAATGTTGCCACATGCTTATAGTTTTAATTCGAGACTGTTTTTAATTGTAAATAACTGCCCACTATATAAAATCAAAATTTTAGTCTCTTTGTCTTAACGAATTATTGCTGTAAGCAGTAGTTAGATCAATGACTCTGTGTAAGTATAGTTTGTAACAACCTGAATAAATACTTCGTGTGCTGTTCAAGTTGTACTTCTTCGAATAAGATGTCCTTTTTTCTTGTTTTCTCTACAACACTGAGTCTTCGGAATACTTTATTCCTTGTACAGACCGCTTGAATTTGGACGAAACTGTGACAGTTTTGAGTCTGAGAACTCTCCTGGACGTTTTTAAGAACTTTTTTTGTTTTGCAGACTTGAAAGACGAAAATGAAGTATGCTTAAACCAAGGAAAATCCAAAAAGACTGTAAGAGTGTTATGTTCACAGTGTAACGTTGACATCTGTACAAAAATTTCACCTCATCATCTTTTATCGGAAGTGAACTGTTAAATTCCAAACGAAAATGCAACCTTAGTTAAATCCGCCACATCTGACTAGCTGCTTTTTCGTTCTATCTTCGCCACAAAGCGTGGTTTATTTAAGTTAACGGTGCTCGACCAAACATAAATCCATCTTCGGATAAAAGGGTTTTAAAGAAAAACAATATATCCAGATGATATCAGACAACCCTTGGTCATCTTCAGCTGTACAAGATGGCTTAAAAGGATCATGAATGCCAAATTCAGCGAACACAGGTTTGTTTTCCTCTGGGTTCTTCTAAACTTCTTTCAGCCACGGATGTTCGAGGCACTGTGCGGCTGTTGCCCGTTTATCTGTGTTGAAGTCGAGCATTGGAAGCAGAAACGCTGAGAATTCTATGGCGTCCTTTTCAGGCCATTCGTACTTCTCGCGAAGAACATCGTAAAGTCCCCTGGAAGAGAAGACAATCACAACTTAGAATCTATAGCTTTGTAGCTTTTCTCAAAAAAAAAAAAAAGAAAACAAAAACCTTTGGACGACTCCTGGCTCATTCAAGGTTTGAAGCTGATAAGTTTCAAAAGAAACTGTGGTTCTGCTGTTTCCAAAGTACACGTTTCGAGCGTTAGCCCTCCGTCTGAGCGGATGGCGAAGGGCTAACGCTTTAAACTTCAGGTTTAGACACTTTACAGTGGCCGATTTACATATCAACCCAGTTGATAGAACAAAATCGTCGTTCAAGGTTTTCCTTGCAAAAGTTTACAGCCATGTATGGTTCTCTGATATAATAAGCGAGAAACACTACTCACCAAGGACGTAACTTGGAAATATGTTTGAGTTCTCCTATTATAAACAAAAACAAAAAATAAATTTGACAGACCTCTCTGACAACTAAAACAAAATTAAAAGGTACGTGCCAATTTTTGAGACAAGTCAAACAAGGACAAGGGGTAAGAATTCAGAGTCGTACAGTAACCTTGTCCAAAGTTTTTTTTATGGTAGTCAAGTTATGCGAACGGTTGGGGAACGGAGCACTCGCCTAAGATGTGATCATCCAGAAGGGTAAGTAAATGGCGAAAACAGGTGATATGCCGGGGAAAACCGCTAGTTGCCCGCCCTTGTCGAGAACTCAGCTTGTCCGAACTATAAAGGATTGAAATATAAACAACTAAATTCAAATAATTAAAACTTAAAATAATTTTGAGGTTAAAAAAAAGAATGTGCGGCCCAACGGGCGTTAAAAAAACGAGGGGGTTTGGGTCGGGTCGTTCATTATACGACCGAACCAAAACGAAGTTAAAAGGAAGTTAAAGCGAAGCGCGATAGTAGCAGAGGAGTGAAAAAACGAGGAAGTTTTGGGTCGCGTCGTTCATTATGCGACCCGACCCAAACCCTTCCCGTTTTTTCACTCCTTTATCGCGCTTCCTTTTAACTGATTGCCTGGTGAAGGCTACAATTTATTCAGCAATAGCATGGCAATTTAGACATGCTCAGTTTCCGAGTGATTCAAAATCCTGACAATTCAATAGTCACCGAATAACCAGAACGCGTTCGCCGTCTTTCGCAATGAATCCATCTGTATGCTGTTTCACAGCGTGTTCATTGATGTTGTAATTAAAAAAAAAAAAGAAAAAAGAAATTGAAAAGGATTAAACAGGCTCAAGGTAAAACCTACCTTTCTTGTTGAAAAAATCTCTGGAATATTTCCCGGAGAGAGCTATGTGCCGTGGAACTTTTCCAAGAAGTTCAATAACGTGAGCAAGGTGATCTGTAAAATAGACAAATTAAATAACAAAGATAACATCGATCAATTAACGAATCAGCCATTGATGATAAATTCCTAAAGATATCATTACCATAAGTTGTCCTAAAAAAGACCAATTTTCAACTAAGAGTCACAAAGAACTCTTTGTGACCCTTAGTTGAAAAGAGTTTTAGTTGACGACGCTCTGTGATTAGTCTAAAATTTGGCGTGGTCTTTCACAACCAATCAGATGCAAAATTTAAATCAATCGCTTCTGGTCACCAGCGTTTTTTTCCCGCCGCTTACCGCAATTTGGTTATGTATACTTCCGAGTTTTCAAAGACTCCTTGTAATTGACGGTCTGGAATTTTCTACTCGACAATCAATCGAAAGAGATCTGTCATTCTAACATCTTCAAAACATTTCAACGATCCGCGAGAGGAAAATATCCAACTTTCTTAGTTTACCCGAGACTCTGTAAGGCTTCTGTTCTCGACAGGATTGATTCACACCTGCGTATCCGCTCGTTTCGACAGGGCGCAATTAATTTAGACCAACACGCGTGAGTAATTTCTACCATTTCGCGAGCAATTCAGACCAACACGTGCGATTAACTCAGACCAACTCACGCGTGTAACGCGGAGCAACACGTACGAGTAGCTCAGACCAACACGTGCGTGTAACTCAGGCCAACACGTGCGAGTAACTCAGACCAACACGTGCAAGTAACTGACCAACACGCACGACGAAATGGGCCTCTTTGGTGCGTGTCCAATCTACTTCGCGCGCGTTTCTTACGTTCTTGTCTAACAGAATGCCACGCCATTTCAAAGAACAACAAAGGATTAATACACCTCAAACTGTTTACCTTCATCTCTTGAATAATCTTCTCCTGAATGTGGCTCAAATAGGAAGTCTCCTGTAGCTAATTCAAATGCCTAGAGAGGAATGGCAAAAAATTACATTCTTTGGCAAGTTGCACACCGTCAGGGCACCATAGGGAAAACACATAGAATTCCACGAGTCTCCAGGTTTTCCACGACCCGAAAGAACTATAGAATCAAAGAGACCGTGCTTGAACAGAGGCCTGGTTTGCCTTTTTAGGCAAGACACTTCCATCTCACAGTGCCTCTCTCCTTCGACTCACTCGTTAGCCGCTGGTCGGGAGATGAGCCTGCACTCCTACCAAACTGTTTGGGAAACGAGATTAAATAAAGGGGGATAACTTGCGATGGACTAGCGTCTCATGATATTAACTAAGTAGCCATAAAAATCGGGAAAAGTCTGGCTTTAAGGGCAAATGTTCTCAAGTTGGCACATCCTGACATCTACAACTCTCGGTCTTACTTACTGTTCTCGTTAACTGCTTCTACATCCTATACAAAACACTACCGAACTACACATTGTATATTACCGGATTGCAAAGACCATAAATGCGTAACTAAAACTCAGTTAACTTCCTGACATCGGAATGTACTCAAAATACGTGGCAAATATCAAACTCCTCCACGTTAGTCATTTCAGTACATCTTTGATCGCAGTTTGTATCTTCACTAATTCGTGCAAAGCAATGAGAGAGTTTAAAACTCATCTTACTTTGCAAGAATAAGTGAAAAAAACAAGCAGGGTTCAGTCCGCGTTGATTTCAACATGAGACATGACACATATTTTATTAACCCTTAGACTCCCATGAATGACCAAGACATAATTTCCCCTTAAAATATCAATAAAATTTCAAGTAGACAAGTGATGCGAATTAAGGAAAATATGAATGATTTGAAAAAAACAAACCAAAAAAAAACCGGTGTAAAATCTCCAAAACAGAATAATTGTATTGTGAATCAAACTATTTATCGACCTGTTGGGGCATGAAAATGTTGTAAAACTGAGAGAATTCTGAACGATATATACAGACTTTTAAAAAGCCTTGTCCGAAAGTTGAATCTTGATATGCCAATACATTCAGTAATAGTAAAATTTTCGATGAAGTCTCGCCGGAAGGTAATCCAGAATCGCATTGGTTTTGCTTTACTTCGCAATGTGACTGGTCCAGAAAACCCCGCCACTCTTTCATCCAATCAGATACAGAATTAAAACCAATCATGACATGTCGCTCGCGTTTTCCTGCGCCTTAGACAAACTGATGTGCTTGATTTAAGTTTCAACTGCCTCTTTGAGGTATTTTTCTTCCTCTCGATTGGCCGTTGTTGATACTTTGATTTTGGTTTCACAACACTCAATCGAAAAATGCTCTAAAACAAAGGAGTATCAAACTCGCTCTTAAGTTAAAACAAGGGTGTTTTTAAAAAGCTGCAGTGTTGTTATGGTAACCTTCCATACCCGAAATAGATCACAACACGCTGAAAAGTAATAATCTATTTGATTCTTCCAAGGAAACAAACTAGAAAAGTGTAGAAGAAAAATGCCTAAAAGAGTCCAAACCACTTTCGGCGGTATCCGCCGCTTTCACCCCCTATCGAGTTCGCCCCTACCTTATACCGTGTTCGCCCCCACACTTTTCGAGTTCGACCCCACCAAGTCGAGTTCGCCCCCAGATTGAGTCATGTCTAAATTTAGTTGCTATCGAACAATTCCTTTCAGCAGCCATTTGGATTGTTTCAAATAAAAGGGGACGGAAATTCCTCGGAGCTTTAGATTAAAAAAGAAACAATTCAAACTTCTAGATTCTCCTCACAGTATCACCCTTTAAAGGTCACGAGAATGAAGAAAATGATCATCAATTTAAGACGCTCTTGGTTGTCAAACAAATTCTCCCTATCATTACTACAGGAAATGTAGAGTGATCAGTGTGGAGAATATGAATACTGATATTAGTGTGTACAGGGTTAGATAGCAATCCATGAAGTCTCATTACCCAAGAAGAGTTCAGTGAGTTCAACACACATGACTGTTCAAGAGTTCATGAAACAACATGGAGGTACCTGTACACTGTAATTCATTTTCTCACTGGATAGGAAAAGTAACAAATCAATATAAAAATCAGAATCTCTGGCAAAAACAACACATCAGATAACCCACAAAGAACTAGGCATATCCTGATCTATGTAACATGGAACCACAAGTAGTAACAACTACTCCCCCCTGGATGGGATGCCAATCCAAAGCAAGGTTACCCCCCAGCATTTCATCAGGCTTCCCTGACAGTTTCATAGTACCCATTTATACTCCTGGAAGGAGAGGGACAATACCCATTTCGACTACTGGGTGAAGAGAAGCACTGTGAGAGTAAGGTGTCTTGCCAAGGAACTCAACACATTGACCCAGCCAGATCTGGAAACCAGACTTCTTAACACAGATTCGAGCACACTAACCCCCCTCCCCTCCTCTCAATGTTATCATATTTTCGATTGGCAACCATTAACACACAAGCTCAGATTCACAAACTTTTCTAATTTTTCCCTACACTTGTCTTCACAGGAGACTGTTTCACCCTACCCTGACACCCTAACAAATTGAAACAAAAATCAGAATCTCTGGCAAAAACAACAAATCAGGTAGCCTACAAGGCACTGGGCATATCCCACCACCTGTAACACGGAACCACAAGGAGGAAAACTACTCCCCCCTGAATGGGATGTTAGTTCAGTGCAGACTCATCATATTAACCACATGGCCTGTGAAAATGCCCTTTCCTGTCAATCAGTATTTAGCATTGTATATACTGCAACACATAAAGAAACTCATATAGAGCAACACTAGAACAGGGAGGCACACATGTAACTGATGGTGTCTCCCTTTGAAGCCCCTTTAGGTATGTTACTTCTTTCTCTCACCATACAAGCTGTGCTCCACATATCAGCCGCTGGGCCATAACCAGCTCCGATTAAAACTTCAAGGCTACGGTATTGTCTTGTTTGGATCTCTTCTGTAAAGTGATGATGCTAAAAGAGAGAGAAACCATATGTGACTGTCCGGAATTGGCTAACATTGGCCAACATTGACCAAGGATCTCAAAACTACTTGTTTTTCTTAGTTATTTCAAACCTTTCAAAAACCCCTGCATTCATCTTTTTGGGCCACAACCAGTAAAATTCACCTCCTGTCATACCACTCATTACCAACTAAATTCAGCAGGAATTCTTGAAAATTTAAGATGTAAAAGGATTGTTTCCCTAGTTTAAGATATTTCTTTTAACTGTCATGCTTAAAATTTGGGAGAATAATGTACCCTACTACTCCTCTGCAATAAAAGCTGAAGCTGTGCTACGCCTTGCCTGGTGGAAAAGGGAAGGGAAGAGAGTTAGGTATCCTCACAAAAAGAAGATTTTTGAAATCAATAAGGCACATATTTTAATACAAGCCTTCAGATACAACATTCAAAGTGTCCTTCCTAATTTTAACCAGGGTTGTTGTAACATTAAGTACAAGTAGTGCCTATACTTACAATCCAACATGCATTCCCCAGATCAGCTATTTTTACTCTTATAGAATCTTCATCTTCTTCTGGTTCTGTGACAATTTCTTCTGGACAAATTTCACCAACACAACTCTCCTCAGGTGCAGCTGAAAAAAATACACCACAGGGAGTATGTAGTAATCTCCTATAACAAAAGCAGATTTCGTTCTTAACCATTTACACCAATATCAGTCTGCATATTCTCTATACTGTTCTCTGGGCATTTACTGAGGCACTGACAAGGAGAATTTGTTAAAGAATCAATAGCTTCTTTAGTTGGTGATAATATCTCTATACTCCTGACCTCAATGTGTAATTTAGTTGTGATGTTGCAGGGCGTGAAATTACACCTAATACAGGCGCCAACGTGACTAAATTTTTAACTTTGGTGACCAAATCCTGAAAATTGCTCGCCAAATTGGCGACTAGAATGTTTCATCGCAACCTTACCATGATATATAGTCAATTAAAAAGATTTGCAAAGATAAATCCGTGGCAAACTTCCTCGTTAACGCAGCACATGCATCTCGATCGATAACTAGACGCCATTGGGATTTAGGTGAGCTTGAACGTTGTGTATCATCCATCCTAGTGTCCACTTTGTAACACGTTAAAAATCTTTTCCCTAACTTAATTAAGGAGGGTCTATCTAGAACGCTGACAGCGTAAAAAAAGGTTTTGTTTGTCTTTGAAAATGGCGACCAAATTTTTTGAATTGGCTACCACTTTGAAGAATTTAGGAGCCAAGTGGCTATCAGAAAAAAAAAACTACGCCCTGTGTTGTGAGGAGAAATTAGAAGCTAATCACTCTCATGGTCAAAGGATTTGGACTCAAAGCTCAGCCTCTTTAAGTTGCCATTCAACAACCAAATGATTGCCAGAAATTAAATGTAAGTCATTGAAGAATGGAAATAGACATTTTGTGTAACATCACATGAGCTGCCATGCCCTTAACCCTTTAACCCCTAAGAGTGACTGGCATCTACTTTCTCCTTACAAAATCAAACCCAAATCACATATTAAGATCATGAGAATAAAGGAAATGGTCACCAACAAGAGAAGCTGTGGGTTATAAAACAAATTCTCCTCGTCAGCACCTTAGGGATTGTATAGAGAACAGTATGGAGAATATGCATACTGATGTTAGGGTGGAAAGGGTTGACCAAACTGCTTATGTAACCAAAAAGTGTGGCTAGCAACTATTCTTGGAAGTTCATGCAACACTCGATGCATAATTTCTCATTGGAGAAAATGATGGAGAATTGGCGGAATCGTTCGCAAGTAAATATCTTAAATTAACAGGGTTTTTGATAGGTTTTGAAGTAGCAACAAAACCTTCGAAGTAGGCAGCTAATGGAAGTTTGATCTTCACTCTAAAGTTATGAATTTCAGAGGAAATAGGTGGCAAATCTTCCTGTTGTCAGCTGTTAGTGAAAACCTTGAATTGACCTTAAAAGTACAAACACAGATCACCATATCAGCATTTTTAACCCAAAATTTCCTTTTCTTTTTCATCTTGCCATCAGGACCAAAATGGTCTCAACATCCAGCCCTGTTGATGATATATTAGAAAATAAAGTTTAACATAACATCATCTCAAGTACCTTTCTCCTCTGGTAAAGATTCCATATCTACACTTTTGCTATCTTGTGCATCACCATTGCAAAGCAGAGCATCTACAAGCAGATAGCAAAGTTAGATTCTGACAGTTAAATTCAGTAGTTATTCCTTCTCCACACTGCTCTCTATGCATTTCCCATAGTACCAATCAAGAGCTTCTTACATTGGCAATAATTGACTTAATTTATACTCAGGACATTATGGTTTGATTCAGAGGTGACACAGCTGTGAGAAGAAATTGTGTGCTAGTCACCCTTTATGCAGGAAGTGGGGGAGGGGGGGGGTTTAGGAGTGGGATTTACAGGGCTAAGTATCTCAGTGGCCCATGATTATAATTCCTTAGAGAAAATTGCTCACAGATGATCCAGATTTTGCCACACTGATATCCCTAAACAGTAAATTATTGAATGTGGCTGCTGCTCAGATATTTTGACAAATTCTATCTCCAAATGGCTAGGAAGAGGGTAGCTTACAGGGCGTGAAATTAATTTTTTTTTCCTGATAGCCACTTGGCTCCTAAATTTTTCAAAGTGGTAGCCAATTCACAAAAAGTTGGTCGCCATTTTTTAAGACAAACAAAACCTTTTTTACGCTGTCAGCGTACTAGATAGACCCTCCAAAATCAAGTTAGGAAAGAGATAGTTAACGTGTTACGAAGTGGACACTAAGATGGATGATATACAACGTTCAAACTCAATTAAATCCAAGATGGCGTCTAATTATCGATCAATATACATGTGCTGCGTTTTGGAAACAAACCTAACGAGGAAGTTTGCCGTAGATTTATCTTTGCAAATCTTTTTAATTCACTATATCTCTAGGTAAGGTTATGGTGAAGCATTCTAGTTTCCAATTTGGTGACTCATTTTCAGGAGTTGTTCACCAAAGTGAAAAATTTAGTCGCATTAGTGCCTGTATTAGACGCAATTTCACGCCCTGGGCTTATAATTTCAGAATAGAGATTTTTCTCAAACAGTAACTGAACATGAAATAATATAAGGTAAATCTACATGTCCTCAATAAACCCCTTGACATAAAAAAAAAAATAAATGAAAACAACCCACAATTAATTGTTGTGTACCTGGTTCATTCTGTTCCTCTGTCACTGACATATCATCATTGGTGACTATGCACTTTTGTTGAAGAGATTGGCCACTTAGATCTTCAGAATTTTCAACCGATTCACAATCAACAAGATTTTCTACAGTCTCTTCCTGCAACTGATTTGATTCAAGTTCATTATCATTCTGTTCACAATTTGTGGAATTTTCTGTGCAATTTTCCATGCTATTGCTACAACATTTCTCTGTCTCCTTGTCTGAAGCTTCTTCATTTTCTTCCAACATCCCTTGTTCAATTTCATCCTGCTGCTGCTGTTGCTTCTCAATCTGCTTTTTTAACTTTTTTTTCATCTTCTTTTTCTTATTCTTTGAAATCTTTGTTGAGGTGCATTGCTGCCAAATAAAGAGAACATTTGTACCATGAAGACCAGAAACATGTGGACACATCTCTCTCTTTCTTTCTCTTCAAGCACCAATTATTCCCTCACAAAAAACGGGTTTAGATCGAGAGTCAAGACAGGAGAATTGTATGACATAGGAGGATAGGATTATATAACCAACACACCAGCAATAACTTTGGGAAAAAAATGAGTTTACTTTGGGACGACTCAAACTCTTAACTATAGAAGTCATTGCCGACGGTTTCTAGAATAAAAGTTACAAAAATAATACATTAAGAACTGCACAATTTATTTCAACATTGAAAAAAACAAAGGAATAACATACTACGAAATATGCATAGCATAGGAAACAAGAGAAAAACAATAAAAGTTGACATTTATTTGCTCATTTGGGGGTACAGCAAAACAGCTTAAGAACATAACATTACTCATGATCACTTGTGAACTCAAGTAAACACTTTGGCCTTTTTCATAGCCAGCACCAAAGTCAAACTATTTAAGGATGGACATGGGGACTAGGCAGGAATTGGTTTACACATATATGATATATAGCTCAGGCTGTCAAAATTACACCAGAGAATTATACATAGCAACTGGAAAACAAACACCCTGCAAGATAAACATCAGGTTTCTGGTTTGAAAATCTCACACACCAGGTATAAATATCACAGAGACCTGCTCAGCTTGCTGTTAGTTTGATATGAGGTGGAAATAACTAAATTGGCATTGTTTAAAAAAACATGTTCTGCTTTAAAATTAAAAAGTTTACTACACACCTGCATCACTGACGGAGGAGCTGTACTGACTGGAAAAGTAGAAAAGAAAAAATAGTTCATCCTGTTTAATAAATAAAGTTGCCATAACATCTGCATTAGTTCTAACATGTCAGTGCCCCTTTACACCCTAACATCAGCATGTGCATTCTCCATACTGTTCTTTAACCATTTCTTATGGCTCTGACAAAGAGAATTTGGTTTTGAATCAAAAGCTTCCTTATTTGATGATCATTTTCTTTATTCTCATGACCTCTATGTTTGATTCAAGGGTGACAATGCGAGGAAAAATTGGATGCTAGTCACTCTTAGCAGTTATTGGGTCAAGAGATCAAATCTTTCTATTTCTTGTCATAAATTTCTTGTAGTATGGGTAACGAGAATTTTTGGTTAGATCAAACAATACCATATCCCCTGGACTCTTCCTTACTCTTGTCATCTGCATGACAGTGTACAAATATTATAATGAGAAATTGAGTACACATCACTACTGAGAATAAAAAAGGTTCTAAGTTAAATTTCAATTCTAATAATGATCTGTTTGTACTTACTAAGTGCAGGAGAGTACAGTCCTGATGCCCTTGCTGCTGCAGCCTCTGCCGCCAGTTGTTGTATGTATTTCTCACTCACACACAGTAAAATATTCTCTGGTTTAATATCCGTATGAATTATTTTACATTTTGAGTGCAGATAATCTAGGCCTTGTAACGTCTGTAAAAAACAGAGTTGAAAAAACAGATTGCTGTGTTACTTGAACTTTCAACATCTACACATATGTAACAGTACAAATTTATTTGGCAGTATTTCACAATTATTCACTAAAGTGGATGTAAATGGAGACAAATATCCTGCCACTTTCAATGATACTGAGGTGAATAACTGTTTTTAATACCACACAATCTGGGGCATGATCTTTGGGAACAACAAACAGGAGATTTTTTTTTTTTAAACCCATGCTGGTGACAAAATGACAAACATCCCTCTTCACAACACAGAGATAACAAATAAACAAAAAGGTTCCATATTGCTGCACATCTGTTCAGTAATAGATCACAGATGATGTCAAATTGTGTAAATGAGAGCACAAAAGTAGCACATGAGACACAGCTGAGTGTGTTACCAATGTTTTAAATCCTACAACATTTTTACATCATCGGTGAAAGTGATACATAAATGATCATATGTATAGTGGTAATCATCCTCAGACTTCTTCCCCTGATGAAGACTCACTGTATTCAGTTGAAAACATAGCAATCCATATCCCAAAAAACAAACAAACAAACAAACAAACAGCAGAATAAGACAAACAATTACACTCCAATACAATGTACTCAAGGCTGACCTGTTTTATGATGCTCTTCACTTGCACTAAAGGTATACCCTTATAGCTGGACTTGATTATTAATTTCAACAAGTTATGACCTAGCACTTCAAAGACCATACATATATCTGATGTATCTAAGTCAAAGAATGGATATGTGGAATACTGTAAAAAAAAATCCTTATTTAATCCTTGAAACCCTTAAATCAATACACACATTCTCCATACTGTTCTCTATACATTTCCTAAGGTGCTGACAAGGAGAATTTGTTTAACAATCAAGAGCTTCTTTAGTTGGTGATCACTTCCTTTAATATCATGAAAAAAATGTGTGATTTGGAATGTGATAATGCAAGGAGAAATTAGATGCCAAGGAGTTTTTAGGGGTTAAAACTTTAACTCCCTGATAAGATTTGTTATTCTCCTTACTGTCAACCATACAATTCTTATAATTTTAGTTCAGAGAATTTAGAATTAGATCCACTTAGTCCCCAAATTGATATTTTTCTTTATTCTCATTACTTATCTGGTTGATATTGTATTGATATTGTGAGGAGAAATTCTGTCTGATCGGATCACTTTTAAAGGTTGCAAAAATAAAAAAAAAATTTGCTCACTCAACATCTGATTGTTTATTCTTCCCTTTCTCGACTTGTTACACATTTCCATGCATACTAGTTGTAAGAATTTGGTGTTAGATCAAGTTTCGCAACTGCTACCTGATAAGTTTCAAGAGTATTCTCATTTCCTGTTTGCTGGATATCGTGTGGATATTATAGGAAAAGTTACAAGATCACTTCTGGGAACTAATTGAATTAGGACATGTCAATGACGATGGCCACATTGGCAACTTTCATTGAAAATCCAGTTGCCAACTTTTTTCTTTTGCTTGCCATGGTTGCCTAAATGGTTAAAAAATTTGCATTTTCTAATACTCATAGTCCCCACATTGAAGGTACACGAAACAGAAAACAGGTTTCTTTGGACATAGTTCTTTCATAAAGGATACGTGAGCCATTTATTCCTACAATTTTGAAATCATCTGTTAGTTGGACAACATGTTTATATCCAGTGTGGGTCAAATCAGCTGTGTGGACCTAACAAAAAACGAAGAAAGCAAATTAACTGACAGATCTTCTTAAAGCACTCTGGTAAGCAAGCAAATAAAGTCCACAATGATATGTACAAGATGGTTGTACTATTTCCAATATTCAATTCAAAATTCTACATTCCTATGAAGGTACTTAAAAGATGTGGTAACTTTCCAGACTGTTCTCTGCAGGATACCAGGCTGTCTTCAACCCTAAAGCCATACTCCACACTAGACTGTTTTTTTAATGTTCCTAATTGGCAACCTGACTCATGATTATAGCGCTCATCTTTGATCAAAGCAGTATAGCTGGGTAATGTCTTCAGCAGTTCACTTAACAACTTAAGTCTTAGGAGTTGGAAAACCATGGCTTCACACAACCACTAAACTTTGGTCAACAAGTACTGTCTACAGTGAGGCTGTTTTTCTCTCTTGCACTATAGGAATCTGACAAAAATGTTGTGTTCTGGATCTTTCTTAAGCCTTTTATTTTTATCAAGTTTTATCACACTTTAAGTGGTGATGTTCAAAAGCATAATCCTAAATTTTTTTAGCATCATTACTCTGACCCTACTGATAACAGATGATAAACATTGACAAAACATAGGAGTTCAAGTTGCTTATACCAATAACCACAAAAGGGGGAATTTGATTTTCCACCAACAAGAAGAATCAGACCTTGCACATGAGTTAATCCTAAATTTTTTTCGCATCATTACTCTGACCCTACTGATGACAGATGATAAACATTGACAAAACATAGGAGTTCAAGATGCATATATACCAATAACCACAAGAGGGGGAATTTGATTTCCACTAACAAGAATCAGTTCTCATTATACTAATTCAGCCAGACCATGCACATGAGACCTAGCACAAAAAACAAGTTCCTTACTGTTCTTAAAAGTTTCATTTCATCAATGGCTGTCTCTGTGTAATGCGACGCACTTTTTACAATCTTCAGCGCCACAAACCGTCGGTCTCTGGGAAATAGAAAAACATGATGTAACATGAATAAACAGCATATAATAAACATTAACAAAGAAAACTATCAATTGAAGGGGTAAGGTATAGGTTAAGTCTGTATTTGAGCAAAATGACCCATTCAGCTAGAGCTGAGTGGGTCACTTGGGTAAATTTTACCCCTAGTATTTCATCAAGCTTCCCTGACAATTTGCAGTAGTTTCAATGAAAGCTGGTTAGGGGCAGCCTACTGCTGCCTAGAAGACTTCTTATCCCCATCTCTTTAGCCTGTGAGCGAGCTATCATGTTTGGTTTTTGTGTTACACCTTTCAGTTTTTCCAAACACAACCCCCCTTGTGCTCTATTGGCAGCTGCTTGTGAGAGAAGTAAGTAAAACCCCTGAATTTACACGTTCCCATTTGTACTTCTGACTGGAGGGAGGCAGTGAGAGAGTCAGGTGTTTTTCATCACAATTGGCAGTACTGTCACAATCTGATTAGCTAATTTGCTATTGTCCAGACAACATTGCTTGCATCAAGGTGTCATGATCTTAGTCACACACCCAAGAATGGTTTTATTTGACCTCAATATTGCCCTAAAAAAAAAAAATGGACAGTGGTTTAGCATGGTCTGTACTCTTATAGACAACAATATTCATCACCACAAAATTTGTTGCCTGTCCACTAGAGTACAGACCATGCTAAACCACTGTTGATTTCTTAATTGCCGAGAACACAATCTCGATTCAAGGAGAGCATGGAAAAAAACTTGAAGCGTTTTTGAACAGATTGCTAATATTGTATTCTCTAATAAACACACTGATAATCACTAACAGCTTTTGTCTATGCACCACTTAAATTTATTTTTTGTTTTTTGAAAACTCACTTGAGATCCCATGCTAGCCAGAGAGTTGAAAAGTGACCCCAGCCCTGAACAGATTGCTAATTTCTCCATTAAAATAATATTGTATTCTCTAACAACCACACTGATAATCACTAACAGCTTTAGTCTGTGTACCACTTAAATTTATTTTTTGTTTTTTAAGAACTCACTTGAGATCCCACGCTAGCCAGACAGTTGAAAAGTGACCCCACCCAAGCTTTCTGATAATACTATAGCGGTTGTTGAACAGGTCACCCAAGCGCACAGGATGGTAACCTCCTATAAGGTAATGATTCAATAGAAGAGTACAAATTATAATACACAGAGCAAGCTGGTTTACACTTGGTTTTGTTTTGCTTCTTTGTTTTTATCATTATTATAACTATTAATTGGATATCACGAATTTATTAACAGACATACATAAAATTACAATATTACATTGCATTATAATGATAGATTGCATACAGTAGTATATTATATTACACTGTTGCTTTACTGACATAATACCATTACTATGTAACAATACCACATTCTTGACAGACAAATGCCATTTACTTTAAATATAAAACAGCACTGTTCATTAAATTTCTCACACAAATTTTCTTAAGAGTCACTTTGGCCAGACTTTCTTGAAACATGAAAAGAGCCAAAAATTAAAAATTGACTGAAGTAATATTATTTCCATTCCAGTCGAACTTCATTGTTTTGTTGAAGTTATTTTTCTTTTAGCTTCAAGCTGATGAAAGTATCATTCTCTTGTGGTAGAAGACAAAAGCTGTTTCATTTGCGAGTAAACTCAATCATAACAAGCTTCAATGCTAATTGTCACTTTTAGGACTTTTGCACAAGTTCAGTAATAACCATTAGTATATACCACACAGATAAATAGAGCTTTTTGCACACCCTGATGGACTAGTTTGGTGGTGATTAGAAAGTACTATTCACATCCTCACAGCTGAGGAAACAAAATTGCACATCAGCAATTTAATTTTTGTCCATTTTTTTTATATATTGACAAAAATACATTAATTTTTTTGGTTTTGTGTGGTGTGTACACTTCCATTTTATTGAATTGTTAATTATTCTTGTGCTGCATTCTAAAGAAAACAAATTCTTAAACATTGATCCTCGCTGCCTTAAAGATGTGTTTTCAGCAACAGCAGATATAATTTGATCACACACAAAAGCGAATTTAAATGTTATGCACACAAAAAAAAAAACTGAATAACAGAATATTTGAAAATGACAACAAATCATCTGGTGAACTTGTGACATTCAGAGCACTCTATCATTTTTTTCTTTTTTGTATCACAATATGTCTAGCAGTTGACAGTGTACCAAAATGCTACATAACCGAAGGAAATTTCAAAGAGTAACTGGCTTTCACAATACGTTTTCAAAACAAAAACAAGAACTAAAAGCATATATTTTTATTTTAAGACAGTTATCAAGAATATGTCCGAGAGAAGGGATACTGGTGAAAATCATCTATTGTGTTTAAAGAATATTTTGTAAGCTTGATGCATATACAATTCTAATTGCCACCTTTTAACCTCAAACAAAGCCATTCTGAAACCTCTGTTGCCGCAGAAACAAAATCCATGCAAATATTTTGGTTTACAGAGCAAGATATACTTCCTTTGAGATTAAATACTCCAACTTGCCCTGAAAATGTATTCTAAAAGTCGATCTTTCGTACACCTGTTAACTCTGTTGACGATCGATTCAAAAGGCGCAGTTAATTTTGGTACATGTCGATGTACACCTTCACAAAGCCAAAACAAATTCCTTTATTGCTACATTTCGTAAGCAGTTAAATAACTTCTGTGTTGGCTAAAATTGCTAATCAGCTGAACTGCCCTAAGACGATTACTGGCAAACCTTTTAAGAACGAGTCAAGCTGGAAGCAACTTAATGTTCTAGTTTTCAACTACCATTTGACTTGTCATTTGCGAAGCGCTGATAGATTCGTACTCAACATCGATCGCGGCACAAAATAAATTCCCGGCAACGGAAAAATGAATCCTTTTTTCAGCTCACAGTATAATATTTCAACAAGATAAAGATCCTTAGAATTGAGTAAATCGAGCGCTAACTTATGCAAAACCCTTTCCAATGTGTAATTTGTTACTCGCTCAAGAAGGCAAGCTTACCTTTGCAATAGTCACCAGAATCTTCTTGCTCCTCATCGTCGGAATTCTCGTCTACCTCATAATCGTCGTCGTTAAAACTAGACACACTCCCGCTAGACATAACAGAAAACAAGAATCCTTTAAACTTTGGCCTTTGTAAAAGCAAAGAGGTGACACCGCCTTGTATATAGTACAAATTCGCCCACCTTTTCGGCTTGGATTTCGTATCTTCAGGCCTCATGCGTGCTTTCGGCGCCTTGTAACGCTTTTTCTTCGCTTGTATTGCAAGAACTGAAAGATAATAAGGCGAAAAGGGAGGTTTAAAATCTACTCCTGCTCCGTCCTGAAAGAAATATCAGTCACTTATACCTTTCCGCTGCATTTTTGAATTCATTTCGCCGTTTTTACGATGCCACTGAAAAGTTTGCTTGAAAACTACGGTTTTTTTTAGGCGCGCATGTCAGCGCACAAAAAACGCGGGCTCGCATAAAAATTTCCCATCACAGAATATTCCTACGAGCGCTCCAAAGATATCATTTTAATTTAACATAAGAGCCTTGGAAAGATATTGTTTTCAGAGGCTAAGAGTGCAATTGGTTCGTTAAGAAACTAAGCCAGAGAAATATCGATGCGGATAAACTTTCAAAACGCACAGTCCAGCGGTTCTATATTTCTTGCCACAACGCGAAATATGTACTGCAACTCATGAACATTGAAAAAAAACAAACGAAAAGTTATGTGTTTCTTTTCAATACTTCGACAAGAAAAGAGTTCATATCAAAATTGAGAGCCTTTTAAGTTTAACATTTTATATTCTTTGCATGATTGCATCATAAACTCTAATTCCTGAGAAAAAATGTTGAAAATATACTGTTAGTATTTTTGTGACACGCCATGCTGTGAACAACTGGAGCGGTAAATTAATTTCGACTTTGTCTCAGATTGAAAAGCAAACCTCAGGAAATGAAGTTAAGTAAATTTGCACCTCTTCTGAGATGGAGAACTTTTATAATCCAGCGGGGATCCCTTGTTAAATTTACAACAACATAAGATTCCTCTAAAGAAAGCTAAGTCGCAAACAGAGAATATCGTGACTACTTGGACGAAAAATATCAGCTCGCAATCTGCATCAATTATATGTGTTATACAGAAACTAAACATGTAACATGCCTCGGGGTAAATGTATATTTCGAAAAGGAATAAAAGAATCGTGGTAACATTGCAATAACGGTTTGATCGCATGTAGTGACATCCAATTCAGTTGGATAATATTCTTTTCTTTTCGAAATTTTCAAACCCTTAATAAAGATGTACGAACTCAGACTTATATTAATTTGCATGAGACCGCATAATGAAGGATGCAAACGATATTTAATTCATCAGTATTATTTATTAGACAATTAACGAGTTCGATGCAAGCCTTAGTATTTCCAATATCGTTTATTGTCTCTTTTTCATGATCAAAGATTCTTCAAAACCATGGTTGTCGGTTTCAGTCGATAATTAGATTTAACTCGCTACATGGATCACGCGATCGAACTGGAATGTTTACAACCGATATATAAGAAGTGTTTGGATATCAATGAGCGAAATGCATCATGTTTTGGATTCGAGAATCTACTGAATCCAGTATTAAATGAATGTGATTAATTGTCCGTGTTCAATTGGCAAGTTTTGAAATAATTAATTGTGACCTCTTCGGCCTGTTGCAAAATGTAAAACCCTTTCAACATAAATTGGCTTAAGTTACAGAAATTGCAAAGTTCGCACCTTTGTGCGTTTTATTGATAACTGGCACAATCAAGAGATAACACTGCATGAATTCCCGAGATTGAAAATATCAGTGCAAGATCTAAACTCCGGGTAAAGAAATTAGCGCCGAGTTGCCGCAAGTAAGATTTTGAAGATTTCAGAGCTCGTTCAAACATCTGTGCTTTGACGATAGCGAAGAAGTGATTCCAAAAATTGTTTCTCCGCTACGACTATTTCCAATAAATGTTTTGAAAAGAAGTATCTATTTTTACTCACTGATTGGAAGAGGACTTAAAGGCTGCAAAATTCAGATTCCTTAACACTAAGAGGGAAGCATTTTAGTTGAAAGCCTTTCGTTATCGTTGGACTATTTGACAAACTTTCTTGAATTAACAATTTATAGAGATCAGCTGGAATTCTGCATTGGCATCAACAGAAGAGAAGATTCTGAAATATCTAAAATTCCCTTTATCTTAAATCAGAATGATTATTTGCCGTTTGGTTCGATCAAGTTGTTTTCGCTCTCGAGCTTCACCGAGTTGCTCGGTAACCAGACAAAATATCTGAAGACATATTGTTGCGATTTGCTCACCTTCACTTATGGAGGACTCTGCTGCACAATGACACCAGTAACAGTCAAATCGCCCACAAAATAACCTTGTGGGTTCTGTATCTGTCAAGTCTGTTCTTGAAAAGATCAAATTCTCCGAATACCAGATGAATGGATTTCAATTATAAGGCTCCAGTGGTTAAAGCAGGGTGAGTGGCGCACCGCTTCGGATTAAAACGTTATTGAGTTTGTTTTTGTTTGAAAAGCGCTCCGATTGATAACTCAAACAAAGATACTGCCGCGACCCTTCATCGCTCAAATGACGTTGCGACATGCTGATAAAGATTTGACAGCTCAAGTGTATTCAAAATTGCCAATGAATGAAACGCTCTTGAGGTTGCCCTGTAGGCGCTCGGTTAGAACAAATTAGAAGAAAAAAACGTTGACAAAAGGACTTTTCACCGCTTTTTCGTTAGATTCTCGATAGAGCTATCCAACAATTTGGCAAATTTCTTTTTTAAAATAATCGAACATGATAGACCATCAAATCTAACTGCTTTGCACCGATACATTTTATCATTTAGGCAAAGGAAAAGAAGGTAAAAGTATTTACATGTAATATGCCCAGTTCCTGAACTTTCGAAAGCATTTCTGTGGTTTCATTTGTGACGTTACTGGTGTTATTTCTGTCAAAAAGCGGAAATAGGTAACATTAGCCAAATCAGAGGTTTCCTTCTAAATCTAACCAAGAAAAATCACATCAACAGTGCATCTTGTATTTCCGATGAAAAAACAAACAAACAAGCAAAGTAAGAGGCAAAAGGAATAATTAAGGGAGTTACGAAAGATTCAACGCAAAATATTTTTCCTCTATTGAAACAACCTCCTTCCGTGAGTTCGCAGTGCACGCTAGGAGGCGAGAGTGCATGTAAATAACTCAAGATGCCCGGTCGAAGGGGTGGGGAGGGGTCGGAGGATTTTGTTAGTGTCACAATAAAATTTTTTCAGGTTTTTTTTGTTGAACAGGTCTTCTCAATTTCATGGAATTAAGAAAAAAGCTCGAGTTAACATGTTAAACATACACTTAAAAAACAAGTCTAGGGAGAAAACCGTCTATTTTAAAATACAATTGAACATCTTGACCGCTCACATATCTGTTAATTTGTCTGACGTAAGTTCTTCCTTTGTCATTGGTTTACATCCCAAAATCCCATGCCACTCGGGAAGTTTTGTTGAAGTTCACCACTTTTAGGAGAAAAGGTAGCGTTTTAAGTTGAAAGCGAAATCAGCTAAAAAATTACTGCCCGAAATAAGGAGAAAACTGTCCTGCTAAAGAATCGCAACACGTTCTGTTTGTCTGGAATAGTGGTTCTTATATTTTATGAGTAAGTTGATATCATGAACGACGTTACTTGCAACGATTCTGCACGGTTTTACCCCATATCCACTGAACTCAAAGATCTTCGTTCGACTTTTATCGCCAACTGTGTCTTCAACAATTTTCTTACTCACACTTCCATCATTTTGAATACTGTGACAATCTACGCTATCCACAAAACCTCGGCAATCGCAAAAACTTTGAAAACTCTGCTGCTGAGTCTTGCCATCTCGGATGTTGCTGTTGGTTTGTTTAACCAACCATTATACACTTTCTTTCTGGTCAAGTGGTTACAACTGGACAATCTTAACTGTAATATTTACCGAGCGCTGAATATTTCAGGTTATTTATTCTCAGCTGTTTCTTTTCTTGGTGTTGTGGCTGTAAGTGTAGACAGGTTCTTAGCTGTTCATCTTCATCTCAGATATCAAGAGCTTGTTACTCAAAAGCGTGTTGTTGTTGTGGTGATCAGCAAATGGTTGTGCAGTGCATTTGTTTCTTCGATAGCATTGTGGGGGTTGCCTGGTGCTCGGAGTATTACAAAGTCAGTCGTTGTAGTTTTCGGTTTCATTGTCACGTTTGTGGTGTACACCAGGATATATTTAACTGTCCGACGGCACAAAAATCAGATTCATTCTATGCAAGTACAAGAAGTAGCTCATTCTGATGAAATAAAACACTTCATTGTTCTCATTAAATCCACAGTTAGCATATTTTACGTATATCTCTTGTTGTTGATTTGTTATTTGCCTTTTTTGATTTGCACGGCTGTTATTCGAATCTATGGCTCGAGTATCGCTTTAAAACAATTTTTACTTTACTCAATGACTCTCATATTTCTTAATTCATCTTTGAATCCTGTCATTTACTGCTGGAAGATGAGACACATTCGACACGCTATCATGAACATACTTCGAAAGATGTCTAGGAAGAGCAATCGGCCATTACGGATACACTACAAGCGATCATCGAGTGTCGTCCATGTTGATAACTGATCCACTCTGTACGCCAAACATGGACTGTGCGCGGTTTGTTTACCACAAAGGAAACAGGGAGAAAGAACATTGTACATAAACTTAATGATATGACTCAGCAGCCAAATCATTGCGTATCCAGTCCAGTTTTAAATACACAATACATCAAATTCTCACGAGTGGAATGAAGGAGGCCAATTAAACAGGAAAGCTGGTTTGGTTATCGGTGTATCTCAGCTAACTCCTAAATTGAACGAGCTTCATTTGCTTTTTACCTCAACCAAGTTATCTATTCTAAGGAGGTTAAAATATAACAAAACTGTTTAGGCTCACGACAGTACATGGCTCAAAACTTCGATAAATCATTTTTTTTTTAGCCATATGTTGATCAGAGGGGAATTCCCTCGAAGCATCTTCAGAAAGGCTGCTTTAACTCATGAAAAAGCGAGTTTTTATTATCGATATAATTTTTTTTTTCTAGAGAAGCATTACCCTAAGAATGAGTGAGATAAAGTACGCGAAGAAAATTGCTCGTACCTAAACGAGAACAAACTTTTACGGGCATAGAGTTATAAAGCATCTGTTTGCACTAATTTTAATGAATGGATCACTTCGCAGGCAGAGATCACGCAGAATTTTCCTTCAAAAAATTTTGATCAATTTACTTTTTTTTTTTTTTTTTTTTTTTTTTTACTTTGAAGAGTGACTTTTATTGCTACCATTACTGCGACAATGTGAACTATTTATAATCAAAAAGAGTTTTATCGTTATTGCTTTCGTTTGCACGTGTCTGAAGATTAACTAGGCTTGTTTGGAAAATAGGAAATCACAAAACAAAACGAAAATAGCTTTTGAATAACTTATTGTGATCAAGTACAGCGTTTTACCTTATTTACTATTTCCGATGATATGGCATTTAACTTTTATCTTAAATGACTGAATTTTATTGCGACAGCTCACTTCTCGCAAGACCATGCTTATCGAGGTAGTTCTTTCTTGGTTTATGATAATTTGAAGGAAGATTTAAGACATAATTTAAGTGGCTAAAAATAGTTTGTTGGAGGAGCATACGGTGCTTATATTAATAAACAAATCCCCTATTAAAGTGTAATTTTAATGAAGAAAGTTTAAAGCAAGCAGATAATGAGAATGACAAAGATGATCAATTTAGGGACATGGTATTGATAGTATGATGCTCAGGAATAAACAGCAAATAAATATAAGTTATGATCATGAGTGAAGGGAATAAACTTCCGGCTCTTTCTTTAGAAGTTAAAAACTTTAAATGATTCCACGATGAAATGGTGTAGCGTCACATTTGGAGCGTCACGTTTTTTCGTCAGGAAGAGAAGCCAGGAGCAAGTATTTAAGAAGGAAAGGGAAATTATTGTTTATCATTGTCTACTGAGTGAATGGAAAACGAAAATGGGTTGATTGATATGTTTGAAAACTAAACAAACAGCGAAGAGCATTTCGTTTGCCTTTGGTTACACTTTTGAGGTAAAAATTTATTCAAAGCAGAATGCTGCATACGAAAACGAAAGTTATCGATTAGTCTGCAGATGTTTTAATGTGATTTTACATAATACTAGCTGACCGGGAATTTTATGAGCTTAAAATTAAGTATGTTTTTCTTTGTAACCTCCTTTCTCTTAGATGCAATAGCTGATAGGTTTTTGAATTAATTGAACAATTATTTCTAATTTCTAGACAAGTTCATGGGTCAGTCACATAAAATAAAGTCAAAAAATTATTCTCGTTATTAAAGTTTCTTTGTTTTTTTTTTGACAGATAATCGACGGATTATCCATGATGATTATGTGGAGATTTAAAGATGTCTTTCCAAATCTCGGAGATTATTTGTAACAGCGTCGATTTTCCTAGCTTTAAGGGAAAACGAAAGAGGTCTCAGTTGTCGCCAACAGAGTATTAAGAGGAGACTGACTGACCGATTAACTGTCACCTAGGAGGGAGGGGTCATAGGAATCTTATAGAATCTTATGGGGGGCTGTGAAAAGATTGTTGTGACTCGACCAAGATCCTCTAACACCTTCCCTCTTCCCACAGGCGATAAATTAGACCGACCTCTTGGGAGGATAAATGACAGATGAACTATTTTTGATGGCTTTCTGCTGTAGAAAATCAGATTAAACGCATTTACTTCTAAAAGCAACGATTACTGCAAAAACTCATTCAGGAAAAGGGTGGTCAGTGATATCAAAAGTTCCATAACTTATTATCGGTTAAGATAATTAAACCAAACATTGTTTATTGTTGAGAATGTATTTTTATCATCTTCAAGGCTTTTTGATGCTTTATTTATTTCCTAAAGAGGATTTTGGTTGTGTCGAGATAAAAGTAATATTATCCCCCATAAGACTGTAATATTCTTATTACCCCCTCCCTCCTTCTTACCTTGTCTGCTTTTAAGAAAAGCGACGCTGTAACAAATATCATCCAAAGCAAGTTTCTTTAGCCTCCCCCCCCCCACAAAATCTCTTAGCGACGACTGATCCCCACTCTGTTGCCCCTCAAAACCAGGAGAAATCGAGGCTTTAGAATATTCTCCGAGATTTTGAAAGGCATTTTCAAATTGCCACGTAATCATCATAGATATGCCCAAAATTTAAGCCGTCGATTATTTGTATGAACAAACTTTCGAGACTAATGTTTTCAATACATCTCATTTATTGACCCATTTAATTTGTCTTCAAATTGCAAAGAATTGTCATAATGATTCCAAAACCTATCTGTTATTTGCATAAAAACAAAGGAAATAACAAGGAAAAACATACTTAATTTTAAGTTCTCAAAATTCCCGGTGTTATCAAGGGTAACCTGAAAACATCTGCGGGCTAATCAATAACTCTAAAGCCACCTCTGTTTTCGTTTTCATATGCAGCATTCTGCTTCGACTAAGTTTTTACCTCAAAAGTGTTAACACAAACTCGGTGCTTTTTGTTGTCTGTTTAATTTCCAAGGATATCGATCAATCCATTTTCGTTTTCAGTCCACTCACTAGCTAATAATTAACATCGATTTTTCTTCCCTCGTAAATACTAGTCAGTGCTAGTTTTAAGAAATTCGGCGAAACAATTGGCAGTTATGGGCAAAATTTACAAGGGAAAAATGAAACCTTTTCCGAAGCTTAAGTCCGCAACCACTGTTATTGATTTTAAATTCTGATTTGAAACTAAGAGCGACGGAAACCTTGACGTGAATAAAATCTTGAGTCGTATCCTACTTTTATTTACATCCATAATTACAATTTCACTATCGATCGATGACAAAACCAGCTTTCTTGCTCAAATTAGCCTTTCCCTGTCACACTACAGATTATTCGATTTAATGTGTACTTAAAATTGGAACTACGCGATTATTTGGCTGCCGGGTCATATCACTAAGTTTATGTACAATCTTGTTTGTTCCTATTTTACTTTGTCGTAAACAAATACTGTGTATAGTCTTTGTAAGCCACACAGAGGGGATCAGTTATCAATATGGACGACACTCGATGACCGATTGTAGTGGATCCGAAATGGCTGATTGCTGATCCAAGACATCTTTCGTAATATGTCTATGATGGCGTGTCGAATGTGTTTAATCTTCCAGCAGTAAATGACAGGGTTCAAAGATGAATTCAGGAACACGAGAGTCAATAAGAAAAGAAAAAGTTTCTTTAAAACGATACTCGAGCCATAAAATTGAATGACAGCCATGCAAATGAAAAGGGGCAAATAACAAACTAAAAACACGAGATATACGTGAAATATTCCAACTGTGTATTTAATTAGAGCAGTTAAGTTTTTTATCTCCTCAGACTGAGCTTCGTCTCGTATTTGCATGGACTGAATGTGATTCTTGTGCCGTCGTACAGTTTGATATATCCTGATGTACACCACGAGTGTGATGATAAAACCGAAAGCAACAGTAATTATATTTATAAGATCCCAAGCACTAAGAAGCCCCCACAATGTAACCAAAGAAACAAATGCACTATACACCCACATGCTGACCACCACCACAACAACACGCCTGCGAGACACGAACTCCTGGTATCTGAGATGAAGATGAACAGCTAAGAACCTATCTACACTTACAGCCACAACACCGAGGAACGAGGCAGCTGAAAATAAACTACCTAAAATCGTCCCCACTTGTTTAGGGATACAGCCAGGATTGTCTAGTCGAAGCCAGTTGATAAGGAAGAAAGTGTATAATGGTTGACTAAATAAACCAACAGCAACATCCGAGCAGGCAAGACTTAGCAGCAGAGTTTTCAAAGTTTTTGGCACTGTTGAAGTTTTGTGGATGGCGTAGATTGTCACAATATTCAACATGAAGGCGGTGTAAGTAAGAAAAATGTTAAAGACACAGTTGGCGATACAAGTCGAGCGAAGATCTTCAAGTTCGGCGAATATGGGCAAAAATTTCGAAGACTGGTTACAATACAATTTGCTCATGATTTTCACTCACTTATAAATTATGGGGGCCGCTATTTCAGACAAATAGTAGATGGGTTGCGATATTTTAGCAAGCCAATTTATCACAAGCCTTACTAAGGGCAACAACGATAGTACCCTCCGTCATCTAACGTTCAAGTAAACAGTCCTCACATCTCGGCAGATGGTTGCGGCCGGTGCTGAGAGAAGAAGTTAAAGAAAATAAATTACTTATGAGTTTCCCTTTGTTACCTCCGTTCGCTTAAAACGTATAACAATATGTTTGTGGAGCTTGTTTTTTCTCGTTCATGGTTTTGGTTGTCACGATAAAATTTAGCTGATTCCCCCATAAGCTTCTGTAATATTCTTACGATCCTCTCTCATTGGCAGTTCAATGGCAGCCAATTCTCTATAGTCCTGTAATGGGTAGTCAGCTAGAGGTCTGCAAGTGGTGCCAGACCCCTGACACACCTCTCCCTGATTCGTTTCAAGTCTTCCCACGGGCAGAGAAGGTCTGCTTGAAGGTAGTCTCGTACCCACCCCATTCACGGCCGGGCGGTTGTAACTTACGGTTCAATTACAGTTAAAGGGTTGGATCTGGGTACGAGATCACCTCGCAGGCTACTGAATTTGAGCGAAACCGTTCATTTTTTGGCAGAAATCTAAACTGCAAATGAACAGGGGGGTGCGTTTTCCGAAAAACTGTGATGCTACTTCGGTGGGGGTATTGCGAGTCAATTTTATTTTATCTGAGATGATCATGTTACTTGACAGTTCGACCGTTAGCTTTTCGTCGGAAAATGGCGCTAAAAGCATCACTCGGGCCATTTAGTGCTTTTGACAGTCCACCTATTCTTGTTTCGGGTTCTCATTTGTTAATTATGATGTTAACCACAGTTCCGATTGCCCGTGTGGATTAAACTGGTCATGTTCCTTCGACAGGCATGTGGAACCTGCTTTATTCTAAAACTTATGCTTGAATATTCATGCACACTAACCTCGCCTTAGTCCCCCCATGGGTATAGATGAGGCGCGGTAAAATGAACATGGACTACAAAACAAATGTAGAAACGAAAGAAGCAATTTAATTCCTTGCAAAGGGAATTAAATTTGGCAACATCAACTACACAGATACAAAGGAGACAAAATTAAGTAGGTATCACCTGGAGAAATAAGGGAGACGTTACATAGTAATGTTAAATAGTTTAATTTCAAAGCAGAAAATTGATAATGTACGCAAAATTAAAACATAATTAAGAGCTTGCAGTCCTGCTGGAAGCTATCATGAAAATTTCAGAATTAATTTATAAGCATAAACAGCCTGTCGTGACGTTTTACAAGGAGTCGGAAAGATATACAATGACAACTGTATGAAGCGGCACCGTATTAGCAGTCACCCTGTATTTAGCGGTCGGTCGTCCGAGTCCTGAAATTGTTACCTCTTAGTTAATTAAATAATTAAACGGTCATTAAGCAGTCGTGGTCACCCTTTCCTGAGTCCCAGTGGCTTGTCATTATTACTCATCTTTCATTTTATGGGTTTTTTTTCAAGTCCAAGTGAAAGCTGCCTTTTAGGAGAATCGACTGCTATTATCTACAAAACGGAGAGGTTCCTTTACGGCCCCAAGGTGTGAATGTAACCAAAAAAATTGCATTCATGAGTTGACCGAACAACGAGTGACAAAACCCTCATTCAAAGTTAAGGTCTTCGATCAGGCTCGTAATTTCGTTTTTTTCCTCTCTCATCGACTTTCTATTTTGATTTTAAAGAGAAGACGAAAACTTTGGTGCAGATAATATCATATCTCTTTAAGTACCTTCATAATTACAACATTTCACTAAAGTAAAACCAGCTTTACTATTCAATTTAATCTCTCCGTCTTTGCTTCTGCAATTCCTACATACATTATTTCATTAAAAAATTGAAGTGCGCAGTAATTTTGGCCATTGGGACATATAATTGAGTCTTAATACAATTTTGTATCTCCAGTCCCTGTTTACTCTAACGACAGCCTACCGTGACCGTGAGTCATGTTGACCCTCACTCTACAGCATGTACGAGCATTTACAAAAGAGACTTTTTCTATTGCCTCCTCGAAATTTTCTCAATGATTTATGCCTTTAACTAAAGTTACTAAATTCGCTTACCTGCTTTTGGAAACGTTTATTAAATTAAATATACCAATTTCTATCGGTTGCATAATTTCTCAATTTCTTCTGGGGAGATTTTCATACTCTCGATGGGGAAACATCAACATATCATGATATAAATGCCGAACTAAATGTTTCTTTAATTTGAGTTCACCAGCCGTGAGACAATCTTGTAATGCTGGTATTGCGTGACTAGCCTAGTTCACAGCAGTCCACAGTCACGCTAAAAAAACTCCACCGCGTTAATCATGAGAACCAACTAGCTTACAATCTAAACAACTTTCACAAATAGTGAGACGAAATTTTTCCCCAAGTGAAGGTGAATTATTTCCCTGAAGAAAAACGGCAAAACAGGTCTGAAAAGATTATGCACTAGATAAAAACACTTGCGGGAAATGAACAACTTAGTTGTCAAAACAAACTGGATTCCCATAGCGCATTGTGTTCAAAGGAAATGGCTCTTGAAATTTTACGTAAAGCTTTCAAGAAAGGATACAACAGATGAGTTTCACATTTATAGGAACACTTCTTTGAACGACTAAATGTTGTTACTATTTTTGACGTGTATAACACGAACGCATAAAGCTGATTTGCATATAGGAATTATTAACGAAGTATTTTTCCGGAAAATTTGAGCCATTTCGTGAAAATATGGCCAAAATGATGAATTATATCGATCTTGATACTCCATCACATAATCGTTGCGGGACGTTCAAGTATTTTAGGGCTGCTTTAGAAACCTATCTGCAGGTCGGACCGCCTTATTGTTGGTTTCAATCAAGATGGCGAATATTTATGAAATTCGCGAAGTTCTCTACGATGCAGGATGGAGAGTGCCCAAAAGTTTTATTCTATGTTTAACTTGCTCTATCTAAGTACTTTTAAGCTGCAATAGACTTGACTCTAGATCAGGTCCCACGTAAGAGAAAATAGCTTTCAACCGCATGTACCTCAATCCTCACAAATTTCAATGCTCACGATAAGGTATTTTGAAAGTTTCACAACTCGGTAAAATTTTTATAGAATGCAATTATTTTACCTTTAAAGTATTGAAATAAAGTCATTCTTAAATATGTGAAATAATCAGCTTCCTAGAGCAGTAAATAAGGATTTGGTAGCGCTCGATATTTATACCTTAAAATTGTCTCATAAAAAATGAAAAAGGATGAAAAATTATCAAAATAAATGTGATATTTGTACATGGGATAGAATTATCGACTTTCACTGAAAAACATAGGGAAATCGGTGAAGGGACGAAATTTGCCTTATACGTTCTTACGCGGACAGCCTCTTAAGAGGACATCCGTGCAAAAATCGAACAAAAATGGTATTTCTGACGATTGAGTCTGCGAATAAGGCAGAAATAAATATTTTGTCGGCACGAGATACGACAAGGCCTGGGCCTTAGGCCCGAGTATCATGGGTAATGATGCAGTGGTATATAAGGGGGAGTATAGCACGTGGCGTCCATCTAGGCCTCAGAACCAACCGTCCACCTCTGACTGATGGCAAATTTATTTTAGTTTGAAAACTTATTTTCTTTAACTGTGAAGCCTCGTAGGACGGGCTGCCAACTGCTCTGCGTGTGGGCCATGGTTCCTACCCAGATTTCCTGTCATATTTTTTCCCCAAAGGGGTTTTTTTTTCTGGCAGGTTTTTTCTGGCCTCCGTATAACCGTAGTAATGTCCTTGTAAGCGGTTGCCCACCTCTGTTAATCCCGACTTGGTGAAGTGTGCATGTTAGTAATGTATACCTATTTTGAATGTGTAAGGAATTGACTTTATATCAGGATTAAATATGGTATATCAGTTGCGAATGTATGTATGCACGCCTCGGGCTACATGTGCCTCGGGTTGGTTCTCGGCAGGCTTCCCTAAATAAACTTATTTGGTGTACACTACTGTGTTTTTTGTTGTGTAGTGGAGACTAAATATGAAATTTTTATGGCAAGGGTCAAAAATTCAAATTGTCTCAAGTTTTGCACACAAGTAGAACCTAGTAAGACAAGAAAGACAAGAAAGACTGTGTATTTTTTTTCCTCAAATATGTTTTTATTTTCGAGAAAAACGAACTTTTTACTTTCACCCTCTAGAATCGATGGACCGGGTCATGACAGGTCGAAAATTGAACGCTTTCGCTCGCCTCGCATTTCAAAGATATTTCATCCAGGGAAATCTAACAAACGTGTGCTCTTTCATTGAGTCTTCGTCTTCTGTAAAGTGTAAGTTGTGTGGGAATTGGTTGCTTAGAAGCTTTTGGCCATGCGAAAAAGCAATGTCCTCTCTTCCGTTACAAAAAAATGTCGGTGAAGGAAACCTCTTTTTTCACCATGTGCCATTATTCAGAATTCCACCATACTACGCATGTAAATTTCCGAAGGAATGATTTTCAAAATGACGTAAAGTTTTCTTAGGGAAAATGTTTTCCCGCGACGCAGGAAACTCTTCAAAATAGCACACGGAAGACATAAAATCACGCAATGTAGATTGCGTGACCAAAGAGTTAAGGAGCATTCCTGCCTTCGAAATGACTCCGGATCCAACAGCAGAACTTTTTCAGAAACAAATAACATAGTTATACCCAGTTTTATTAAATTACTTTTTCGTTTATCATTCGAAGCTTGTTTCTGCAGAGATATTCTGCCATCGTTCTGTCTAGTACAATTATTCACCAGTGCTAGTAACGGTATACGATTGAAGACTTTGCTGGTCTCTCGCATACGAATCTTAAGTTTCTGCCCATTGTTTAACTTTCTCTATGTGCTTACCCGTGCCTTTTAACCAGCACTCGATAAAAACTAACAGAGTTTTCAAAGTGAGATTTTTGCAAGAGTTAAGTGGACTAACTGAGGGCTTGCATGACCCAATTAGCATAATTGCAGGTATGGTCACTCGACGGTCATTTTGGGTACTGTTATTTTCTTTTCGGATGATAATTTCAATGTTCTTTCACCAAATGAAAGTTTTTGGATAATGTGTTCACTTGTGATGAAGTTAAGGAAGTGGCCGAGCTGTGTGGCTGAGACATACATCCTCGGCACACTACGAGTTTCAACTTCAGCACCTCCTCCATACATGTGTGCGTGTTTCCTGGCGACATTAAATCTATATCGTGGTAGACCGGGAATCCAACTCTGTAACGTTCGATAGTTTACTTTGTCAGCAATAATGGATAGGATTTGCCTTCGTGTGCTCCAGTGGCTCGCATTCTTGTAGCAACTTGGTCCTCTGTCTGTGCCACGTTGTTTGATATCACTATTTTATTCAAGAAGATTTCAGCGTTCCCAGGCGCAGTTTCTTCTAGGGCTGCCATCACGACTTGTCTTGCTTTACGAATGTGGTAGTGTTGTGTTCTGCGAGCTATTGAACCCCCTGATGTTAGCAACTGATGACGTACAGGGCTGACATCCCTACATGCTAGGAATGCATTGAGTGCTTTTCTAGAACTACCTTTTGCCTCTTTTGCGCCATCGGAATCTTCAGAGCTCTCAGATGGGTGGTAAAAGCTCCCAGGTGTTTCCGCGGTCAGTCCCGGTGGTATTCAGAACTACTACAAGTGCCTTTTACCTCTTTTGCGCTTTCAAAATCTTCTGAGCTCTCAGATGGATGGTAAAGGCTCTCCGTTGTTTCCATAGCCAATGCCGATGTTTTCTGGAGTAGCTGTAGGATTCATCGGCATGTCACTACTGTTGGCCTGAAGATATATTCAAAGCACAAGTTCGAGTAGCGGCTATATGGCTTGGCACTCTATTTACGGAATTTTTTGCACTGCAGCAGGCTCGTCAGTTCTCTTGCTTAATTAGGCCCTCCTACATTACTTACAACAATAAATAGAAATTTTTTAGTTTAACTTTATTTCCTTCCTCAAAAAGTGTTATTGCTTTAGGAAAAGGCAGTGAAATTCTATTGAACCTATCGATTAGATTGCTCACCATCTTTTGATCCTTGACTGCAAGCGTTAGCTCATCATTCTGTGACTTGCTTTCAAAACTCTCTTTGCATTTTCTACAGACACCTGTGCAATGGTAATAGAAGAAACAGTGATGAAAACGATAGCGGTAATGATAATGATAATGATAATAATAATGATGCTGGTGATGTTTATGATGATAATAACGACAATCATAATGAAGACGATGACGACAACAACGATGACGAGTAAAATGACTTTCAGTGAAGGTTAACTTTGACATGGAGCTCTTCCTTCCCATGATCGAAAAAATGACTACAAATCGTGGGCAAGTAATACAGAAAAAACAAACTTGGCCTAGCCCGTAGCCGTCAAACCTTCGACGTTCTTAATTCAAGGTATGAGTTCCTATCATCTCCAATCTGGACCTGAACCAATTTTAAGACTCACGCAGCCAATAATTTATGTCTACTGAAAAATTGCATTTCTTAAAAAGCACCAATATCTGAATACATAGAGCACATATATTACACAACAATTATCTTTTTTGCAATAGGGTTCATGAAAGCCATGCCTGAACCCAGAGGTACAAGGATGCCGGTTCTCTGAAATATAACTTTTGATATCGCTCTACTAACGCCTCTGTCTCCTCCTTCGCCATCCAGTGCCAAGCTCAGAACGGTGGAATGGACAAATTGTTAAGGCGTTTATATCCTTTGCACTCATGTAAAAAATGTCTGCTCAGGAAAGGATGAGTTCACTCTTGTTCTCAACTCCGGCAAAACACCAAGCACTTTCATGACCCTGTACATCCTTATTGCACGACACCAAGGGAACCACCTCAAATAATTTACTCCTGTCTCGTCGGTCGTACGAGCAAGCACTTCAAACTCTAAACTTAAATGAGCAAGAAGCTTCCATTTCATTCACAAGTGAGACTTCCGATTCAGAATGGGCGGGAAATAATTATTTTTCTTAGTTTCGCGTGAGAAAAATCGAATGGAGCAATGTTTATTAGGTTTTGTTAATTTAATTAATTGTCTCGCTTTTAAATAGAAAAGTCAACAAACATCATAGTTTTACTCACGCAGAAAATAAAGTAACACGAGTAAAAATTGAGGAAAACTCAGAGCTAAATGGATATCTAGACTTATTATTTCTTTTCTTCGTATTCGTGCCTATTTAAATGCCGTCGACCGACCCCACTCGTAGGTGTAAATTATTCTGTCACACGAGCACGACGACTCGTACCGCAATTATGCAAACTAGGTCACGCAAGCCCTCACTTAACTCTTGCAGGGGCCTCTGTAAGGTAACATTTTGTGGATTTTCGTTTACCATGGGCTAGTTAAAAGGCACGGGTTAGCAAGTCAAACAAAGGGCAGAAACTTAAGATTCGTATGCGAGAGACCAGCAAAGTTTTTAATCGTAGACCGTTACTGGCACTGGTGCATAATCATACTAGACAGAACGATGGCAGAATATCTCTGCAGAAACAAGCTTCAAATGATAAAAGACAAAGTAATTTGACAAAACTACGTATAAATTTATTATTTGTTTTTGAAAAAGTTCTCCTGTACGATTTTGAGTAATTTCAAAGGCAGGAATGCTCCTTAACTCTTTGGTCATGCAATCTACATATTGCGTGGTTTTATGCTATTTTGAAGAGTTTCCTGTGTCGCGAGAAAACATTTGCCCAAAGAAAACTTTACGTCATTTTGAAGATCATTCCTTCGGAAATTTACATCCGTAGTTTCGTGGAATTCTGAATAATGGCACATGGTGAAAAAAGAGGTTTCCTTCATCGACATTTTTTTGTAAAGGAAGAGAGCACATTGTTTTTTCGCATGGCTAAAAGCTTCTAAGCAACCAATTCCTACACAACTTACATTTTACAGAAGACGAAGAGTCTATAAAAGAGCACATCTTGATAAGATTTCCCTAGACGTAATATCTTTGAAATGCGAAGCGAGCGAAAGTGTTCAATTTTCAACCTGTTATGACCCGATCCATCGATTCTAGAGGGTGAAAGCGAAAAGTTCGTTTTTCTCGAAAATAAAAACATATTTGAGGAAAAAAATACACAGTCTTTCTTGTCTTACTAGGTTCTACTTGTGTGCAAAACTTGAGACAATTTGAATTTTTGACCCTTGCCATAAAAATTCCATTTTTGTTTGATTTTTGCACGGATGTCCTCTTAACTTGTCCAAAAATTAAAAACGATCGTCAAATTGATGTCAAAACCTATCTGTTATTTGCATCTTAGCGAAAGGAGATGACAAGGAAAAACACACTTACTTTTAAGTTGTCAAAACTCCTGCTATTATCAAGGACCACCCGCAAACATCTGCGGGCTAATCAATAACTTTATAGCATCTTCTGCTTTTGTTTCCATACGCAGCATTCTGCTTTGACTAACTTTTTACCTCAAAGTGTTGAGACAAACTCGATGCTTTTCGTTGTTTGTTTAATTTCCAAGTATATCGTCCAATCTATTTTCGTTTTGAATCCACTCGTTAGCCAATGATTAACATCGATTTTTCTTCCCTCGTAAATACTAGCTCCTGTTTGCTTTTCTCCCTGAGGGCATTACAAGACGCTCTCAACGTAACGCTATACCGTTTTATCGTATGATCAATTAAAATTAAAATTTCTAATGAAAGAGCTGGAAGTTTTTTCCCTTCACTCATGATCAAACCTTATATTTATTCGTTGTTTAGTCCTGAGAATCTTACAATCAATACCATGTCCCCAAATTGATCATCTCTGTTGTTCTTATTACCAGTTTGCTTAAGAATTTCTTCAAATTGCACATTAAGGGCAGTCAAAAAGTTGACTGTATATTAAGAGGAAGAAGTTCGTTTCCACTAGAACAAAGTAATTTGGGAATTCTGCTTTTGAGGTAGAAGTATAGATGACATAGGTTTCCTTCTGTTTTATTTGAAGCTGGCATGTCACTTAGTTGTCAGTACTAGTTTTAAGAGGTTTGGTGAAACAGTTGGCAGTTATAGGCAAAATTTACATAGAAAAAAAGAAACCATTGCCGAAGCTTAAGTCCGCAACTACCGTTACCGGTTTCTTAATTCTTATTTTAAATTGAAAGCGACGGAAACTTTGATAGGAATAAAAGCATATGTCCTACTGAATCCTTTGCCTTCCTTGCCACCCCAGAAAATAAATACTGACCGTTCCTTTTGTACGATATATGATGGAGGGACTATTTTTTAACGGCTTTCTGCCGTAGAAACCCAAATTGTATGCATCTACTTTGAACAGCAACGATTACTGCAAAGACTGATTCGCAAATAGAGAGAACTGAGATATTAGAAAGAGTTCCATAGCGGATTGTCATTTATTTTTAAAAGGTGAGACGCATTCGACGCGCTTTCATGGAAATACCGCTGAACATATCTTGGAGAACAAATCAGCCATCTGGCGCAATTTTACAATCGGCGTTCAAGTGTCGTTCATGGTGATACCTGAATACCTCAGGGACGGCAGAGCTAGGGGCTGTGGCAAGAGAGGCTTTCAAGGACATATTTTATTTTGTGTTAGTATGAGTATTAACATCGTCAAGATATATAATTAAAGAACAAGCCTCGGGAGAAAAGTGTCGATTTCAAAATACAATTGAACATCTTGACATTAATTTGTCTGACGTAAGTTCTTTCTTTATCATTAGCTGACATTCCAAAAACCTATATTGCGAGGATTAAGAGGATTCCTTTTGTTAAAGTTTATCACTTTTGGGAGGAAAGGTAACATTTTAGGCAGAAAGTGGAATCAGCTCAAGATTTTCTGCCCAAAATAAGGAGAAATTGTCCTGCTAAAGAATCGCAACACGTTCTGTTTGTCTGGAATACAGGGCCCTATCTTTTATGAGTGAGTTGAGATCATGAGTGAATTATTTTGTAACGAGTCTATGGATTATATTCCCAGATACACTGAACTTAAAGATCTTCGTTCGACTTTTATCACCAATTGCATTTTTAGCAATTTTACAACTCACACCTCCATCATGTTGAATATTGTGACAATCTACGCCATCCACAAAACTTCGGCTATGGCAAAAACTTTGAAAACTCTGCTGCTGAGTCTTGCCTTCTCAGATGTTGCTGTTGGTTTGTTTAGCCAACCAATATACACTTTCTCTCTGGTCAAGTGGTTACAACTGGAAAATATTAACTGTAATACTTACCAAGTGCTGAATATTTCAGGTTATTTATTCTCAACTGCTTCGTTCCTTGGTGTTGTGGCTGTGAGTGTAGACAGGTTCTTAGCTGTTCATCTTCATCTCAGATATCAAGAGCTTGTGACTCAAAAGCGTGTTGTCGTTGTAGTGATCGGGAAATGGTTGTGCAGTGCATTTGTTTCTTCGACAGTATTGTGGGGGTTGCCTAGTGTTTGGAATATTACAGAGTCAGTTCTTGCAGCTTTCGGTTTCATTGTCACATTCGTGGTGTACACCAGAATATATTTAATTATACGACGGCACAAGAATCAGATTCATTCTATGCAAGTACAAGAAGTAGCTCATTCTGATGAAATAAAACACTTTATTGTTCTAATTAAATCCACAGTTAGCATATTTTACGTATATCTCTTGTTGTTGATTTGTTATTTGCCTTTTTTCATTTGCAAGGCTGTTATTCGAATCTATGGCTCGAGTATCGCTTTAAAACAATTTTTCCTTTACTCAATGACTCTCATATTTCTTAATTCATCTTTGAATCCTGTCATTTACTGCTGGAACATGAGACACGTTCGACACGCCATCGTCAACATACTTCGAAAGATGTTTAGAACCAGCAATCGGTCATTAGGGATAAACTACAATCGATCATCGAGTGTCATCCATGTTGATAACTGATCCACTCTGTGCGCCTAACATGGACTGTGTGCGGCTTGTTCACCACAAAGGAAACAGGGAGAAAGAACATTGTACATAAACTCACGACAGTACATGGCTCAAAACTTCGATAAGTCATTTTTTTTATTTAGGGAATTCCCTCGAAGCATCTTCAAAAAAGCTGCTATAACTCATGACAAAGCGAATTTTTACTTACAATGTAATCATTTTTTTTTTTCATAGAAGCATTACCCTAAGAAGGAGTAAGATAAAGTCCGCGAAGACAATTGCTCGTACCTAAATGAGAAAAAACTTTTACAGGCATAGAGTTAAAAGCATCTGTTTGCGCTAATTTTAATGAATGGATCACGCTGTAAACAGACATCCTGCAGTATTTTTCTTTCAATTTACCATTTTTTACTTCGAAGGATAACTTGTATTGCTAACATCATTGTGACAATGTGAAATATTTACAATCAAAAAGAGTTTTATCGTTATCGCTTTCGTTTGCACAAGTCTGACGATTAACTAGGCTTGTTTGGAAAATAGGAAAACACACACACACAAAAAAAAAAAACGAAAATAGCTTTTGAATAACTTAATGCGATCAATTGCAGCGTTTTTACTATTTCCTACGGAATTTACTATTTCCGATGATATGGCATATAACTTTTATCTTAAATGACTGAATTTAACTGCGACAGCTCACTTTTCGCGTGACCATGCTGATCGGGATAGTTCTTTCTTGGTTTATGATAATTTTCACTCACATTTAAGACATAATTTAAGTGGCTTAAAATAGCGTGTTGGAGGAGTATACGGTGCTCATATTAATAAACAGTCAACTCTTTAACCCCCCCTACTAGAGTGTAATTAAAGAAAGTTTAAAGCAAGCAGATAATGAGAATGACAAAGAAGATCAATTTAGGAACATGGTATTGATAGTAAGATGCTCGGGAATAAACAGCAAATAAATATAAGTTACGATCATGAGTGAAGAGAATAAACTTCCAGCTCTTTCTTTAGAAGTTAAAAACTTTAAATGATTCCACGATGAAATGGTATAGCGTCACATCTGGAGCGTCACGTTTTTTCTCAGGAAGAGAAGAAACCAGGAGCACGTATTTAAGAGGGAAAGGGAAATTATTGTTTATCATTGTCTATCGAGTGAATGGAAAACGAAAATGGGTTGATTGATATGCTTGAAAACTAAACAAACAGCGAAGAGTACTTCGATTGCCTTTGGTTACACTTTTGTGGTAAAAATTTATTCAAAACAGAGTGCTGCATGCGAAAACGAAAGTTATTGATTAGTCTGCATATGGTTGAATGAGATTTTACATGACACTAGCTCACCGGGAATTTTATGAATTTAAAATTAACTATGTTTTTCTTTGTAATCTCCTTTCGCTTAGACGCAATAGCAGATAGGTTTTTTAATTAATTTAACAATTCTTTCTAATTTCTAGACAAGTTCATGGGTCAGTTATGTAAAATATAGTCAAAAAGTTATTCTCGTTATAAAAGTTTGTTTTATTTGACAGATAATCGACGGCTTAAATTTCAGGATTATCCATTACGATTACGTGGTGATTTAAAGATGTCTTTCAAAATCTTGGAGATTATTTGTAGCAGCGTCGATTTTTCCTGGCTCCAAGGAAAGACGGAAGGGGTTTCAGTTGTCGCTAACAGAGTATTAAGAGGAGACTGACTGACCGATTAACTGTCAGCTGAGGAGGGAGGGGTCATTGGAATCTCATAGAATCTTATGGGGGGCTGTGTAAAGATTGTTGTGACTCGACTAAGATCCTCTAACACCCCCCCTCTCCCCACAGGTGATAAATAATGACCAGTCTCTTAGGAGGATAAATGAAAGATGAACTATTTTTAATGGCTCTCTGCTGTGAACTCAGATTATACGCATTTACTTCTAAAAGCAACGATTACTGCAAAAACTCATTCAGGAAAAGCGAGATCAGTGATACCAAAAGTTCCATAAGTTACATAACTTATTATGGGTTAAGATAATTAAACCAAACATTGCTTATTGTTCAGAATGTATTGTTATCATCTTGAAGGCTTTTTGATGTTTTATTTATTTCCTAAGGAGGATTTTGGTTATGTCAAGATAAAAGTAACATTATCCCCCATAAGACTGTAATATTTCTTATTACCCCCACCTGCCTTGTTGCTTTGTCAGCTTGTAAGAAAGCTAAAAAACGACGCTGTTACAAATATCCTCCAAGGCAGGTTTTTTTAGCCTCCCCCCACACACACACAAACTCTCTTGGCGATGACTGATGACTGATCCCACTCTGTTGCCCCTGAAAACAAGGAAAAATCGATGGTTTTCGAAATATTCTCCGAGATTTTGAAAGGCATTTTCAAATTGCCACATAATCATCATAGATATGCCCAAAGTTTAAGCCGTCGATTATCTGTATAAATAAACTTTTGAACACTTTTATTTCGAGACTAATGTTTTCAATACATTTCATTTTGTTGACCCATCAACTTGTCTAGAAATTGCAAAGAATTGTCATAATTATTTCAAAACCTATCTGTTATTTGCATATAAACAAAAGAAATAACAAACTTCATTTTAAGTTCTCAAAACTCCCGTTATTATCAAGAACCACCTGCAAACATCTTCAGGATAATCAATAACTCTAAAGCCACCTCTGTTTCCCTTTTCATATGCAGCATTCTACTTCGACTACGTTTTTACCTCAAAAGTGTTACGACAAACTCGATGCTCTTTGTTGTTTGTTAATTTTCAAGGATATTGATCATACATTTTCGTTTTGAATCCACTCACTAGCGAATGATTAACATGGATTCTTCTTCCCTCGTAAATACTAGCTCCTGTTTGTGTTTCTTCCTGAGGGCATTACGATACGCTCTCAATGTGACGCTGTATCTTTTTATCATAGGATCAATTAAAGTTTTTAACTTCTAATGAAAGAACTGGAAGTTTATTCCCTTCGCTCATGATCATACCTTATTTTCCTTGTTGTTTAGTCCTGAGATTCTTATTATCCGTACTATGTCCCCAAATTGATCATCTCTGTCATTCTTATTACCTGTTTGCTGGAGAAATTCTTCAAATTACACATTAAGGGGAGTCAAGGGGCTGTCTGTCTATTAACTAAAGAAGAAGTTCGTTTCCACTATTACAGAGTAATTTGGGAATTCTGCTTTTGAGGCAGAAGGATGGATGGCAAAACATTTCCTTCTGTTTTATTTGAAGCTGGCATGTCACTTAGGGAAAACAAGGGAAAAATGGAACCGCAACCACCATTATTGGTTTTAAATTCTGATTTGAAATTAAGAGCGACAGAAGCCTTGATGTGAATAAAATCTTGAGTCGTATCCTACTTTTATTTACAACCATGACTACAATTTCACCATCTATCGATGACAAAACCAGCTTTCTTGCTCAAATTAGCCTTTCCCTATCACACTACAGAGTATTCGATTTATTGAGTAATTAAAATTAGAACTAAGCGATCGTTTGACTGCTGGATCATATCACAAAGTTTATGCGGTACAATCTTGTTTGTCCCTATTTCACTTTGTAATAAACAACTACTGTATGTAGTGTTTGTAAGCCACACAGAAGGTGTCAGTTATCAATATGCACGACACTCGATGACCGATTGTAGTTGATCCGAAATGGCCGATTGCTGATCCAAGACATCTTTCGCAGTATGTCTATGATAGCGTGTCGAACGTGTCTCATCTTCCAGCAGTAAATGACAGGGTTCAAAGATGAATTCAGGAATACGAGAGTCAGCGAGTAAAGGAAAAGTTTCCTTAAAGAGATACTCGAGCTATAAATTTGCATAACAGCTATGCAAATGAAATAGGGCAAATAACACGTTAAAAATACGAGATATACGTAGAATATGCCAACTGTGGATTTAATGAGGACACTGAAGTTTATCTCTTCAGAATGAGCTTCGTTTCGTATTTGCATGGACCGAATCTGATTCTTGTGCCGTCGTACAGTTAGATATATCCTGATGTACGCCACGAGTGTGATAATAAAACTGAAAGCTATAATAATTTTACCTATAAGATCCCGAGTACCAAGAAGCCCCCAAAATATCATCAAAGAGGAAAATGCACTGTACACCCATATGGCAATCACAACAATAACAACACGCCTGTGAGTCACAAGCTCTTTGTATCTGAGATGAAGATGAACAGCTAAGTACCTGTCTACACTTACAGCCACAACGCCATGGAACGAAGCGGTTGAGAATAAATAACCTAACATCGTCAGCACCTGTTGAGTGTTACAGCCAGGATTGTCTAATCGAAGCCAGTTGATCAGAAAGAAAGTGTATAATGGTTGAATAAACAAACCAACAGCAACATCCGAGCAGGCAAGACTTAGCAGCAGAGTTTTCAGAGTTTTTGGCATCGTTGCAGTTTTGTGTATGGCATAGATTGTCACAATATTCAACATGAAGGCGGTGTAAGTAAGAAAAATGTTAAAGACACAGTTGGTGATACAAGTCGAACGAAGATTTTCAAGTTCGGTGAATATGGGAAAAAACTGCGAAGACTGGTTACAAAACAATTTGCCCATGATTTTCGCTAGGAGCCGCTATTTAAGACAAATACTGAATGGTTTGCGATATTTTAGCGGGCAAACTTCTTACAAGCCTTACTGAGGACAACAACGATAGTGCCCTCCGTCATTCAACGTTGAAGTAAACAGTCTTTGGATGTCAGCAGATGGTTGCGGCCGGTGATGAGATAGGAAGCTACAAGAAAATTATTATAAGTCTTCCTTGATTACATCCATTCGCTTAACACGTGTAACTGCACGTTTGTAGAGCTCATTCAATTTCTCGTTCATGTTCTTAAGATTAAGCTCATTTTAATTGCCTTCGTTTATTTCAGTGTGACAGCTATGTTAACTAGGATATTAATAAAACATAAAAAAGCGCATTTCAGGTCTCATTTGGGAAGAAACTCATGGAGTTCTTAAAGTTTTCCTCGAAAACGTAATACGCGACGCGGTGACATCCACTGAGCACGCTAAGCGCAAGACAGTGACCGCCATGGACGTTGTATACCCGCTGAAACGAGAAAGACGCCCGCTCTACGGTTTTGGAGGCTGAAGAATGAAGAACTTAGCAGAAGAATGAAGAGTTAGCAAGGGTGTAAAAGGAAATACTGAAATTTTTGTGATACCCTCCAGGAGGCATACATACAACCACGAGCTTCTTCGCAAATGAGACTTGAAATGCGCTTTTTTAATTAATTAATTTCGCGGGACTAATCTCTCGATTTGGCCAAAACAAGAGATCATAAACTGTTTACAATCTCTTGGCCAAAATTATATATTAGAAGGAACTAAGTTATGCGAAATTTGTCAAAATATTGATCAGCAGGAACAAAAAATTAATTAACAAGTATAAATAACTTGTCATGACGTTTTACAAAGAGTCAGATAAGAATATAATGGCACCTGTACGAAGCGGCACCACATTAGCGGTCACCCTGTATTGGGCGGTTGTTTGTTAAAGTGCTGAAAATGGTAACCCTTAGTTAGTGTAATTTTCACCTCCATCAAGCGGTCACCTTTATTAATCCTTTGATCCCTAGGAGTGACTAGCTTCTAATTTCTCTTTGCAACATCACTCCTGCGTCATACATTAAGGTTATGAGAAAATTGGAAATGATCACCAAATAAAAGCAGTTCTTTCTTGTTACGCAAATTCTCCTTGTCAGTGTCATTGGAAATGTATAGAGAACAGTATGGAGAATATGCATATTGATGTTAGGGTGTAAAGGGTTCAGCAGTGGCGGTCACCCTTTCCTGAGTCCAAGTAGCTTGTTGTTATCTTTACATGTCTATTTTGAGATCCATGTTGATGCTGTTCTTTCATTTTATTATTGGCTATTTCCTTGCTCTTCAAGTATCTTCATAATAACAACATCTCACTAAAGAAAAAAAAACTGACTCCCGTGTACCTGCTATTTCCTTCCTCTTCAAGTACCTTCATAATAACAACATCTCACTAAAGTGAAACCAGCTTTACTATTCAATTTAATCTCTTCGTCTTTGCTACTGCAATTCCTAAATACATTATGTCATTAAAAAATTGAACTGCACAATAATATTGGCCATTGGGGCATATCATTGAATCACTGTTTACTCTAACGACAGCAAACCGCACAAAGCGCTTGTTAGCCGCACAGAAGATTTTATTTATTGATGCAGAAGACACCTGAGAACCGATTTTAAATTACGCTGCTGATTTCTTCTCCGAGACATGTTCCGAAGTATGTCTACGATGACGTGTCCAATGTGTCTCATCTTCCAGCAGTAAATTACAGGGTTCAGAGATGAATTAAGAAATATGCGATTCAAAGAGTAAAGAAAAAAATATTGAGCTCATTTTAAATTTTATCCCAGAGTGACAGCTAGCTATGTTTGTTAAAATACTAATAAAACATACGTAATGGAACTTTTGGTCTCGTAACATTTGGTCTGTTTTTGTTTTCATACGCAGCATTCTGCTTTCACTAAGTTTTTACCTCAAAGTGTTAAGGTAAACTCGATGCTTTTCGTTGTTTGTTTAATTTTCAAGTATGTCGTTTAATCCATTTTCGTATTGAATCCACTCATTAGCCAATTATTAACATCAATTCTTCTTCCCTCGTTAATGCTAATCCCTTTTTGTTTTTTTTCCTGGAGGTATTATGAGACGCTCTCAATGTGACGCTATACTGTTTTATAGCAGGATCAATTAAAGTTTTAACTTCTGACAGACGTGCAAGTTTATTCCCTTCACTCACGATCATACCTTATATTTATTTGTTTTTTAGTCCTGAGAATCTTATTTTCAATACCATATCCCTAAATTGATCATCTCTGTCATTCTCATTACCTGTTTGCTTGAGAATTTCTTCAAATTACACATCAAGAGTAGTCAAAGCGTTGACTCTTTATTAAAAAGGAAAACGTTCGTTTCCCACTATTACAGAGTAATTTGGGAATTCTGCTTTTTAGGCAGAAAGATGGCACAGGTTTCCTTCTGTTTTATTCGAAGCTGGCATGTCATTTAGTCGTCAGAGCTGGTTTCAGAGATTTGGCAAAACAGTTGGCAATTATTTGGGAAAATTTACAAGGAAAAAGAAAACTTTTCCGAAGTCCGCAACCACCGTTATTGGTTTTTAATTCTGATTTTTAATTAAGAGCGACGGAAACTTTGATATGAATAAATCATGTGTACTACGGAATCCCCTGCCCCCCTGCCCCCAAAAAATAAATATTGACCCTTCCTTTTGTAGGATATATGACAGATGAATTATTTTTAATGGCTTTCTCCTATAGAAACCCAAATTGTACGCATTTACTTCTAACGGGAACGATTATTGAAAAAACTGATTCGCAAATAGCGAGAATTGAGGTATTAGAAAGAGGTCCATAGCACATTGTCATTTACTGTTAAAGGTGAGACACATTGAACGCGCCCTCATAGAAATACCGAAGAGCATATCTTAGAAAACAAATCAGCCATCTGGCGCAATTTTACAATCGCGTTCGAGTATCGTTTATGGTGATACATGAATACCTCTGGGACGGCGGAGCTAGGGGCTGGAGCAAGGGAAGCTTTCAAGGACACTTTTTATCTTGTTTTTGTATGAGTATTTACATCTATAAGGTATATGATTTAAAAACAAGCCTCGGGAGAAAAAATGTCGATTTCAAAATACAATTGAACATCTTGACTGCCTCCATATGTGAATTAATTTGTCTGACGTAAGTTCTTTCTTTGTCATTGGCTGACATCCCAAAAACCCATATTGCGAGAGTTAAGAGGATTCCTTTTGTTGAATTTTATCACTATTGGGAGGAAAGATAACATTTTAGGCAGAAAGTGGAATCAGCTAAAAGATTTTCTGCCTAAAATAAGGAGAAACTGTCCTGCTAAAGAATTGCAACACGCTCTGTTTGTCTGGAGTAGATGGTCCTATCTTTTATGAGTGAGTTGATATCATGAGCGAATTATTTTGTAACGAGTCTTTGGATTATTTTCCCACATACACTGAACTTAAAGATCTTCGTTCGACTTTTATCACCAACTGTATTTTTAACAATTTTTTAACTCACACCTCCATCATGTTGAATATTGTGACAATCTACGCCATCCACAAAACTTCGGAAATCGCAAAAACTTTGAAAACTTTGCTGCTGAGTCTTGCCTTCTCGGATGTTGCTGTTGGTTTTTTTAGCCAACCAATATACACTTTCTTTCTGGTCAAGTGGTTGCATCTGGACCATATTAACTGTAATACTTACCAAGTGCTAAAAATTGCGGTATTTTTATTCTTAGCTGCTTCTTTTCTTGGTGTTGTGGCTGTAGGTGTAGACAGGTTCTTAGCTGTTCATCTTCATCTCAGATATCAAGAGCTCGTGACTCGCAAGCGTGTTGTTGTTGTGTTGATCGGCAAATGGTTGTGCTGTGCATTTTTTTCTTTGATGTTATTGTGGGGCCCACCTAGTGCCCCGGGTCTTATTGATTCGGTTGTTACAGCTTTCGGTTTCATTGTCACATTCGTGGTGTACATCAGGATATACTTCACTGTCCGACGGCACAAGAATCAGATTCATTCTATGCAAGTACAAGAAGTAGCTCATTCTGATGAAATAAAGAACTTTATTGTTCTCTTGAAATCCACAGTTGGCATATTTTACGTATATCTCGTGTTTTTAATTTGTTATTTGCCTTCTTTTATTTGCATGGCTGTTATTCGAATCCATGGCTCGAGTACCGCTTTAAAACAATTTTTTCTTTACTCACTGACTCTCATGTATCTAAATTCATCTTTGAACCCTGTCATTTACTGCTGGAAGATGAGGCACGTTCGACACGCTATCATGGACATACTGCGAAAGATGTCTTGGAAGAGAAATTTGCCATTGCGGATAAACTACAATCGATCATCGAGTGTCGTCCATGTTGATAACTGATCCACTCTGTGCGTCTAACAAGGACTGTGCACGGTTTGTTTACCACAAAGGAAATGGGGAGAAAGATAGATGAACTTAGTGATGTGACTCAGCAGCAGAATCATTGCGTATCCTGTCGAGTTTAAATACACAATACATCAAATTCTCACAAGTGGAACGAAAGAAGCCAATTAAACAGGAAAGCTGGTTTGGTTATCGATGTATCTCAGCTAATTCCTAAATTGATCGAGCTTCATTTGCTTTTGACTTCAACCTAGTTACCTATTCTAAGGAGGTTGAAACAGAACCAAACTGTTTAGGCTCATGATAGTACATGGTTCAAAACTTTGATAAGTCATTTTTTTATTTAGTCATATGTTGATCAGAGGGGAATTCCCTCGAAGCATCTTCAAAAAAGCTACTATAACTCATGAAAAAGCGAATTTTTATTATCAATGTAATCATTTTTTTTTCCATAGAAGCATTACCCTAAAAAGGAGTGAGATAAAGTCCGCGAAGATAATTGCTCGTACCTAAATTCTACGTATATCTCGTGTTTTTAATTTGTTATTTGCCTTCTTTTATTTGCATGGCTGTTATTCGAATCCATGGCTCGAGTACCGCTTTAAAACAATTTTTACTTTACTCAATGACTCTCATATTTCTTAATTCATCTTTGAATCCTGTCATTTACTGCTGGAAGATGAGACACGTTCGACACGCCATCGTGAACATACTTCGAAAGATGTTTAGAACCAGCAATCGGCCATTACGGATAAACTACAATGGATCATCGAGTGTCATCCATGTTGATAACTGATCCACTCTGTGCGCCTAACATGGACTGTGCACGGTTTGTTTACCACGAAGGAAACAGGGAGAAAGAATATTGTACATAACCTCAGGACAGTATATGGCTCAAAACTTCGAGAAGTCATTTTTTTATTTAGCCATATGTTGATCCGGAGGGGAATTCCCTCGAAGCATCTTCAAAAAAGCTGCTATAACTCATGAAAAAGCGAATTTTTATTATCAATGTAATCATTTTTTTTTCCATAGAAGCATTACCCTAAAAAGGAGTGAGATAAAGTCCGCGAAGACAAATGCTCGTACCTAAATGCGGAAAAACTTTTACAGGCATAGAGTTAAAAGCATCTGTTTGCGCTAATCTTAATGAATGGATCACGCTGTACGCAGATATCCTGCGGTATTTTTCTTTCAATTTACCACTTTTTACTTCGAAGGATAACTTGTATTGCTAACATCATTGTGACAATGTGAAATATTTACAATCCAAAAGAGTTTTATCGTTATCGCTTTCGTTTGCACAAGTCTGACGATTAACTAGGCTTGTTTGGAAAATAGGAAAACACACACACAAAAAAACAAAAAACGAAAATAGCTTTTGAATAACTTAATGTGATCAATTGCAGCGTTTTTACTATTTCCTACGGAATTTATTATTTCCGATGATATGCCATATAACTTTTAACTTTTATCTTAAATGAATGAATTTTACCACGACAGCTCACTTTTCGCGTGACCATGCTGATCGGGATAGTTCTTTCTTGGTTTATGATAATTTTCAGGCACATTTAAGACATAATTTAAGTGGCTAAAAATAGCGTGTTGGAGGAGTATACGGTGCTCATATTAATAAACAGTCAACTCTTTAACTCCCCCTATTAAAGTGTAACTAAAGAAAGTTTAGAGCAAGCAGATAATGAGAATGACAAAGAGGATCAATTTAGGGACATGGTATTGATAGTAAGATGCTCGGGAATAAACAGCAAATAAATATAGGTTACGATCACGCATGAAGAGAATGAACTTCTAGCTCTTTCTTTAGAAGTTAAAAACTTTAAATGATTCCACGATGAAATGGTATAGTGTCACATCTGGAGCGTCACGTTTTTCTCAGGAAGAGAAGAAACCAGGAGCACGTATTTAAGAGGGAAAGGGAAATTATTGTTTATCATTGTCTATCGAGTGAATGGAAAACGAAAATGGGTTGATTGATATGCTTGAAAACTAAACAAATAGCGAAGAGTATTTCGATTGCCTTTGGTTACACTTTTGTGGTAAAAATGTATTCAAAACAGAGTGCTGCATGCGAAAACGAAAGTTATTGATTAGTCTGCAGATGTTTCAATGAGATTTTACATGACACTAGCTCACCGGGAATTTTATGAGTTTAAAATTAAGTATGTTTTTCTTTGTAATCTCCTTTCGCTTAGACGCAATAGCAGATAGGTTTTTGAATTAATTTAACAATTCTTTCTAATTTCTAGACAAGTCCATGTGTCAGTTATGTAATGTTTAAAAAACGAGCTGGAGTGTTTTATCGGGTTTAAAACCACGAGGCGTAGCCTCGTGGTTTTTGACCCGATAAAACACGTGCTGCGAGTTTTTTGAACGGCTTCAAAAACATTCTTGGAAAAGCGTGTGTCAAGAGAGTTCTTAACAATTATGCTTTTGTGAACGTTAGAAATTAGCATACGAGAAAAGCATGTTGATAATTAATTAATATTCATAAGTCACGTGCAGTGTCTTTATATCTGATAAAACACCGCATACTAATAAGGATGAGGTTTATCGATATAAAGTCACTGCACGTGATGTACTATCTACCATTTGATAGGTTAATGGGCTTATGAATTATTAATGAGTTTTTGAAGTAAAATATAGTCAAAAAGTTATTCTCGTTATAAAAGTTTGTTTTATTTGACAAATAATCGACGGCTTAAAATTCAGGATTAGCCATTACGATTACGTGGTGATTTAAAGATGTCTTTCAAAATCTTGGAGATTATTTGTAACAGCGTCGATTTTTCCTGGCTCCAAGGAAAGACGGAAAGGGTTTCAGTTGTCGCTAACAGAGTATTAAGAGGAGAATGACTGACCGATTAACTGTCAGCTAGGAGGGAGGGGTCATTGGAATCTCATAGAATCTTATGGGGGGCTGTGTAAAGATTGTTGTGACTCGACCAAGATCCTCTCACACCCCCCCTCTCCCCACAGGTGATAAATAATGACTAGTCTCTTAGGAGGATAAATGACAGATGAACTATTTTTTATGGCTTTCTGCTGTGAACTCAGATTATACGCATTTACTTCTAAAAGCAACGATTACTGCAAAAACTCATTCAGGAAAAGCGAGATCAGTGATACCAAAAGTTCCATAAGTTACATAACTTATTATGGGTTAAGATAATTAAACCAAACATTGCTTATTGTTCAGAATGTATTGTTATCGTCTTGAAGGCTTTTTTATGATTTATTTATTTCCTAAGGAGGATTTTGGTTATGTCGAGATAAAAGTAACATTATCCCTTATAAGACTGTAATATTTCTTATTACCCCCACCTGCCTTGTTGCCTTGTCAGCTAGTGAGAAAGCTAAAAAACGACGCTGTTACAAATATCCTCCAAGGCAGGTTTCTTTAGCCCCCCCCCACACACACACACACAAACTCTCTTGGCGATGACTGATGACTGATCCCACTCTGTTGCCCCTGAAAACAAGGAAAAATCGAGGGTTTTCGAAATATTCTCCGAGATTTTGAAAGGCATTTTCAAATCGCCACATAATCATCATAGATATGCCCAAAATTTAAGCCGTCGATTATCTGTATAAACAAACTTTTGAACACTTTTATTTCGAGACTAATGTTTTCAATACATTTCATTTTATTGACCCATCAACTTGTCTAGAAATTGCAAAGAATTGTCATAATGATTTCAAAACCTATCTGTTATTTGCATATAAACAAAAGAAATAACAAACTTCATTTTAAGTTCTCAAAACTCCCGTTGTTATCAAGAACCACCTGCAAACATCTCCAGGGTAATCAATAACTCTAAAGCCACCTCTGTTTCCCTTTTCATATGCAGCATTCTACTTCGACTACGTTTTTACCTCAAAAGTGTTGCGACAAACTCGATGCTCTTTGTTGTTTGTTTATTTTCAAGGATATTGATCATACATTTTCGTTTTGAATCCACTCACTAACGAATGATTAACATGGATTCTTCTTCCCTCGTAAATACTAGTTCATGTTTGTTTTTCTTCCTGAGGGCATCACGAGACGCTCTCAATGTGACGCTATATCTTTTTATCATAGGATCAATTAAAGTTTTTAACTTCTAATGAAAGAACTGGAAGTTTATTCCCTTCGCTCATGATCATACCTTATTTTTCTTTGTTGTTTAGTCCTGAGATTCTTACTATCCATACTTTGTCCCCAAACTGATCATCTCTGTCATTCTTATTACCTGTTTGCTTGAGAAATTCTTCAAATTACACATTAAGGGGAGTCAAGGGGCTGTCTGTTTATTAACTAACTAAAGAAGAAGTTCGTTTCCACTATAACAGAGTAATTTGGGAATTCTGCTTTTGAGGCAGAAGGATGGATGGCAAAACATTTCCTTCTGTTTTATTTGAAGCTGGCATGTCACTTAGTTGCCAGTACTAGTTTTAAGAGATCCGGCGAAACAGTTGGCAGTTATGGGCAAAATTTACAAGGGAAAAATGAAACCTTTTCCGAAGCTTAAGTCCGCAACCACCGTTATTGGTTTTAAATTCTGATTTGAAATTAAGAGCGACAGAAGCCTTGATGTGAATAAAATCTTGAGTCGTACCCTACTTTTATTTACATCCATAACTATAATTTCACTACCTATCGATGACAAAACCAGCTTTCTTGCTCAAATTAGCCTTTCCCTATCACACTACAGATTATTTGATTTATTGAGTAATTAAAATTAGAACTAAGCGATTGTTTGACTGCTGGGTCATATCACAAAGTTTATGCGGTACAATCTTGTTTGTCCCTATTTCACTTTGTAGTAAACAACTACTGTATGAAGTGTTTGTAAGCCACACAGAAGGCATCAGTTATCAATATGCACGACACTCGATGACCGATTGTAGTTGATCCGAAATGGCCGATTGCTGATCCAAGACATCTTTCGCAGTATGTCTATGATAGCGTGTCGAACGTGTCTCATCTTCCAGCAGTAAATTACAGGGTTCAAAGATGAATTCAGGTACGCGAGAGTCAGCGAGTAAAGGAAAAGTTTCTTTAAGGAGATACTCGAGCTATAGATTTGAATAACAGCTATGCAAATGAAATAGGGCAAATAACACATTAAAAATACGAGATATACGTAGAATATGCCAACTGTGGATTTAATGAGGACACTGAAGTTTATCTCTTCAGAATGAGCTTCGTTTCGTATTTGCATGGACCGAATGTGATTCTTGTGCCGTCGTACAGTTAGATATATCCTGATGTACGCCACGAGTGTGATAATAAAACTGAAAGCTATATTAATTGTACTTATAAGATCCCGAGTACCAAGAAGCCCCCAAAATATCATCAAAGAGGAAAATGCACTGTACACCCATATGCCAATCACAACAATAACAACACGCCTGTGAGTCACAAGCTCTTGGTATCTGAGATGAAGATGAACAGCTAAGAACCTGTCTACACTTACAGCCACAACACCATGGAACGAAGCGGTTGAGAATAAATAACCTAAAATCGTCCGCACCTGTTGAGTGTTACAGCCAGGATTGTCTAATCGAAGCCAGTTGATCAGAAAGAAAGTGTATAATGGTTGAATAAACAAACCAACAGCAACATCCGAGCAGGCAAGACTTAGCGGCAGAGTTTTCAGAGTTTTTGGCATTGTTGCAGTTTTGTGTATGGCATAGATTGTCACAATATTCAACATGAAGGCGGTGTAAGTAAGAAAAATGTTAAAGACGCAGTTGGTGATACAGGTCGAACGAAGATTTTCAAGTTCGATGAATACGGGAAAAAACTGCGAAGACTGGTTACAAAACAATTTGCTCATGATTTTCGCTAGGAGCCGCTATTTCAGACAAATACTGAATGGTTTGCGATATTTTAGCGGGCAAACTTCTCACAAGCCTTACTGAGGATAACAACGATAGTACCCTCCGTCATTCAACGTTGAAGTAAACAGTCTTTGGATGTCAGCAGATGGTTGCGGCCGGTGATGAGATAGGAAGCTACAAGAAAATGATTATAAGTCTTCCTTGATTACATCCATTCGCTTAACACGTGTAACTGCACGTTTGTAGAGCTCATTCAATTTCTCGTTTATGTTCTTAAGATTAAGCTCATTTTAATTGCCTTCGTTTATTTCAGCGTGACAGCTATGTTAGCTAGGATATTAATAAAACATAAGAAAGCGCATTTCAGATCTCATTTGGGAAGAAACTCATGGAGCTCTTAAAGTTTTCCTCGAAAACGTAATACGCGACGCGGTGACGTACACTGAGCACGCTAAGCGCAAGACTGTGACCGCCATGGACGTTGTATACCCGCTGAAACGACAAAGACGCACGCTCTACGGTTTTGGAGGCTGAAGAATGAAGAACTTAGCAGAAGAATGAAGAGTTAGCAAGGGTGTAAAGGAAATACTGAAATTTTTTTGATAGCCTTAAGGAGGCATACATACAACCACGAGCTTCTTCGCAAATGAGACTTGAAATGCGCTTTTTTAATTAATTAATTTCGCGGGACTTTAATTTCTCGATTTGGCCAAAATAAGAGATCATAAACTGTTTACAATCTCTTGGCCAAAATTATATATTAGAAGGAACTAAGTTATGCGAAATTTGTCAAAATATTGATCAGCAGGAACAAAACATTAATTAACCAGTATAAATAACTTGTCATGACGTTTTACAAAGAGTCAGATAGGAATACAATGGCACCTGTTCGAAGTGGCACCATATTAGCAGTCACCCTGTATTGGGTGGTCGGTTGTTTAAGTGCTGAAAATGGTAACCCTTAGTTAGTGTAATTTTCACCTCCATCAAGCGGTCACCTCTATTAATCCTTTGACCCCTAGAAGTGACTAGCTTCTAATTTTTCTTTACAACATCAACCCTGCGTCACGCATTAAGGTTATGAGAAAATTGGAAATGATCACCAAATAAAAGCAGCTCTTTCTTGTTACGCAAATTCTCCTTATCAGTGTCATTGGAAATGTATAGAGAACAGAATGGAGAATATGCATGCTGATGTTAGGATTTAGTGGGTTAATCAGTGGTGGTCATCCTTTCCTGAGTCCCAACGGCTTGTTGCTACTTTTACATGTCTATGTTGAGATCCATGTTGATTCTGTTTTTTTATTTTGCCGTTTTTTTTTTTCTCATCGAGTTTCTATTTTGATTTTAAAGGGACGACGAAAACCTTGATGCATATAATATCATGTCTCCTATTTCTTTCTTCTTCGAGAACCTTCATAATAACAACATCTCACTAAAGTGAAACCAGCTTCTAATCTCTCCGTCTCTCCGACTGCAGTTCTTTCATACATTATTTCGTTAAAAAATTGAAGTGAACAATAATTTTGGCCATTGGGAGGACATCATTGAGTCTAAATACAATTTCGTATCTCCAATCCCTGTTTACTCTAACGACAGCAAACCGCAGAAACGCTTGTTAGCCACACAGCAGATTTGAATTATTGATGCGGAAGACACTCGATCATAGATATGCCCGAAATTTAAGCTTTCGATTATCTGTACCAATAAACTTTTCAACACTTTTATTATGAGACTAATGCTTTCACTACATTTCACTTCATTGACCCATTAACTTGTCTAGAAATTAAAAAGGATTATCAAATTGATTCCAAAACCTCTCTGTTATTTGCATTAAAGCGAAAGGAGATAACAAGGAAAAACATACTTAGTTTTAAGTTTTCCGGCAAAACTCACGGTATTATCAAGAACCATCTGCAAACATCTGCGGGCTAATCAATAACTCTATAGCAACCTCTGTTTTCGTTTCCATATGCAGCATTCTGCTTCGACTAAGTTTTTACCTCAAAAGTGTTAAGGCAAACTAGATGCTTTTCGTTGTTTGTTTAACTTTCAAGTATGTTGCTCAATTCATTTTCGTTTTGAGTCCACTCATTAGCTAATGATTAACATCGATTCTTCCTAGAGGCATTACGAGACGCTCTCAAAGTGACGCTATACCGTTTTATCATAGGACCATTTAAAATTTTTAACAACTACAGAAAGAGGTGGAAGTTTATTCCCCTCACTCATGATCATACCTTATATTTATTTGCTGTCTATTCGTGACCATCTTGCTATCAATACCATGTCCCTAAATCGATCATCTCTGTCATTCTTATTACCTGCTTGCCTTCAACTTTCTTTAAATTACACATTAATAGGGGAGTTCAGGAGTTGACTGTTTATTTATGTGAGCACTACATATTTAGTTGTTGTTTAGTCCTGAAAATCTTACTATCAATACCATTTCCCCAAACTGATCATCTCTGTCATTCTTATTACTTGTTTCCTTGAGAATTTCTTTAAATTACACATTCAAAGGAGTCAAGGCTTTGACTGTTTATTAATAGGAAGAAGTTTGTTTTTCATCACCAAAGAATAAATTGGAAATTTTTCTCTTGAGGCAGAAGGATGGATGGCACAGGTTTCCTTCTATTTTATTTGTATCGGCATGTCACTTAGTTGTCAGTGCTAGTTTTAATAGATTCGGCGAAACAGTTGGCAGTCATGGGGAAAATTTACAAGCCAAAGAAGAAACTTTTCCGAAGCTCAAGATCGCAACCATCGTTACTAGTTTTTAATTCTGATTTGAAATTAAGAGCGACGAAAACCTTAATAGGAATAAAAGCATGTGTCCTATCCTACTTTTACTTGCATCCATCGATGACAAAACCAGCTTTCTAGCTCAAAATAGCCTTTCCCTGTCACACTACAGATCATTCGATTTATTGTGTCTTTAAAATCGGAACTTACGTAATTATTTGGCTGCCGGGTCATATTAAAAAGTTTATGTACAATCTTGTTTGTTCCTATTTCACTTTGCCGTAACAAATACTGTGTTTAGTCTTTGTAAGCCACATAGAGGGGTTCAGTTATCAATATGGACGACACTCGATGACCGATTGTAGTTGATCCGAAATGGCCGATTGCTGATCCAAGACATCTTTCGTAGTATGTCTATAATAGCGTGTCGAATGTGTCTCATCTTCCAGCAGTAAATGACAGGGTTCAAAGATGAATTTAGAAATATGAGGGTCAACGAGTAAAATAAAAGTTTCTTCAAAGCGATACTCGAGCCATAGATTTGAATAACAACTACGCAGATGATGAAAGGCAAATAACAAACTAACAACACGAGATATACGTAGAATATGCCAACTGTGGATTTAATGAGAACTGTAAAGTTTTTTAACTCCTCAGATTGAGCTTCGTCTCGTATTTGCATACACTGAATCTGATTCTCGTGCCGTCGAACAGTTTGATATATCCTGATATACACCACGAGTGTGATAATAAAACCGAAAGCAGCAGTAATTGTTCTTATAAGCTTCCAAGCACTAAAAGGCCCCCACAATATCATCAATGAAAAAACTCCACTGTACACCCATATGCTGACCACCACAACAACAACACGCATGTGAGTTACAAGCTCCTGGTATCTGAGATGAAGATGAACAGCTAAGAACCTGTCTACACTTACAGCCACAACACCAAGGAACGAAGCAGTTGAAAATAAAGTACTTGAAATCGTCAACACATGTAGAGTAGTACAGCCAGAATTGCCAAGTCGAAGCCAGTTGATAAGGAGGAAAGTGTATAATGGTTGACTGAACAAACCAACAGCAACATCCGAGCAGGCAAGACTTAGCAGCAGAGTTCTCAAAGTGTTTGGCGTCGTTGAAGTTTTGTGTATGGCGTAGATTGTCACAATATTCAACATGAAGGCGGTGTAACTAAGAAAAATGTTAAAGACACAGTTGGCGATACAAGTCGAACGAAGGTCTTCAAGTTCGGTCGATATGAGCAAAAATTGCGAATACTGGTTACAATACAATTTGCTCATGATATCCGCTAGGAGCCGCTATTTCAGACAAATAGTGAATGGTGTGCGATATTTTAGCAGGCCAACTTCTCACGAGCTTTACTGAGGATAACAACGATAGCACCCTCCGTTATTCAACGTTCAAGTAAACAGTCATCAGATCTCAACAGATGGTTGTGACCGGTGCTGAGATGGGAAGTTAAAAGGAAATAAATTAATTATGAGTTTTTCTTGATTACCTCCTTTCGCTTCACCCTTGTAACAGTACGTTTGTCTAGCTCGTTCAATTTCTCGTTCGTGTTCGATAATTCTAAAACAGACTCCGAAAAAATAAGTGGCTTAGTTAGTGACTGATCAGTGTTTATCAATGTGAAGCGGGTGGGGGAGGGGAGCTGGGGGTCGGAGGATTTTGGTTGTCATGATAAAATTTACCCGACTCCCCCATAACCCTCTGTAATATTCCTAGGATCCTTAGCTGCCTCATTGGCAGTTCAATGGCAGCCCATTCTCTATAGTCCTGTAAAGGGTAGTCAGCTAGAAGTCTGCAAGTGGTGCCAGACTCCCGGCAGACCTCTCCCCGATTCGTCTCAAGTCTTCACATTCACAGTTTAAAAACAGTAGGATCGACAGCGGCAAAATAAGTGCGCATGCTCGGCGGATTTCGCCCTTTCGAGGAGTGATTTGTGATTCCAGCGTGGATCAAACTTGGATCAAGTTTGCCCAAGAACGAACAAAACATTGTTTTACACTTTTTGGGACTGATAACGATATGATCCGACCGGAAAATTTTTTAATGGAGTCTGCTCTCATGGAAGAGTCTGAAGGGCAAGTAGAATTATTTTAGACATAGTTCAACTAAAGCTGATTTAAATTTATCCTTACAGCTCTTCGCCAATTCCCCTTCCATTCATCAATTTTATTTACAAAACGCATTTCATCATCGGTATTTGTTCAGTACATGCTTTAAACTTAAAAAGCTTTTCGATGTAAACTCTTGTGGTAGTAAAAGCTGTTTTGCAATCGAAATTAGTCTTGAATCTGTCGGTCGCTTTGCTTAAGTGAACGTTCTTTTGATCGGCAGAAGTTGTAACAGTGTACCAAGCAATACCGCCTTATTGCTTCCCCAACACAACTTAAACGTAATAGATGCAATAACATTTATACTTGACACATTTCTTAACCTTCTTTGCGTCTGGAAACATGTCGATATAACTTTACGATCAACCGCCGTTTTTTGACGTTCTCATGCACTTCTTACCACACAGTGTTGCCTGAAGTTGATGAAAGTAACGGTACACAAATTCACCGTCGCAGATAGCTTTAACTTCAGCCAGTTTAATAGTTCTCAATTTCACTGCGTTGAGACTGTGCAAGTAAGGCGCCTTTTGATAAGTGGAGATGGCTATCCATTAAGATGATGTTGTCATTTGCATCACTTACAAATTAAATAAATGAACGAAACTTCAAATACAACTGAAACTGTGAACTCAATTGTTTACACTGTGTTAAACCTAGACGCGAGGGAATAATCGGACACACCTCTCGCTGTGCACAAATTCCTGAATTCACTGTCATTTACCCTTGGTTTGTAATAACTAAATAAAACGCACAATAGAGTCAAAAATGATTGCTCGCAAACTACTCAGGCAAGATGATTTTATATCTTATTTTGAATCCCCAATTTGGGCGAGTGAATGTTGTGAAACAGACGCTTCGCAAGTCAGGTTTTTTATGCTTTGTAGCACATGTGAGCCGGTCCTTAGTCGAGGCTTTTATCAAAAACGTCTAGGCAGCTGGCCGGCGGAAACAAATAAATACGTATTTCAACGAAAATGGTCCCCTTTTTGTCGTGCAATAGCTGTGTAATACATTCATGTCACATATCTTCATCGCCGAGAGGTTCGTTGACAACTTTTGAGGACGATTTCCTTTTTAAACTTAGACGATACTAGTTAAAACATGTCACTCAACAAAAACAACTGTTTCGTTCTACTTTCAGAATTCAGTGTGAGGTTGCATTCACTCAATTGTTAGCCCCATAGAGAATGCTCTTTCAATGTCTTCCTGAGTCGCTCCTCGACCGGCAAGTGCTATTCTCGCTGGTTTTAAGTTTAAAAACCTTGGCACTTCGGAGAAGCACGGAGCGTCGACACAGAATCTATACGTGCGCTGAACACAAAATTCCTTGTTGCCTGGAACGTAAAGAGCATCAACCGCCAACAGAATATCACTAGCATCAAAGGACACTTTCTTACACCCTGCACACTGTGGTTTGGGTCCGGCGGATCGATTCAACCGCTCCAGACGCCACACTTGTGGGTGATTACTCCGCGGGTCATTCCTAATCACTCTGTCAGCGTTACTCTGCGCATAGTTTGTGCTACTCTTAGAGACTAAGCGTTTCTTACCTAAGGCGGGCTTTGGCTGAGTACACGGAGGTGGTGCGCGTTGAAAAATGGAGCGGACTTCCTGCTCAGTGAGTGCTGCTTGTTGAAGGGTATCGTCCTTTTCATTGACTCCAAGGACGACTACGTACACCCAAATCAAGTGCTTGCAGATCTCCACCATTCGGCTCTTCATGAAATCTTCGCAGGTGCAACTTGGAGTTGTGCCAATTGATACAGTGTAGGGGCCCATGACCAAGCCAATCACGTGCACTTGATACCTCGTATTTGCGAAGCAATTTACCTTCTTCTGGAACAGACAATAACTTGATCCTGTGTCGGTCGGTCTGAGTTGCTCGTTTCAATGTAATAGCGAAGCTCGCAGAGCGTAGCCCCATAACTATACAAAATAGTAGTAACTCATCAAGCCGAAAAAATTTGGTTGTACGACCGTACGACCGTACAAGGTGCTACTTTTAGTATGCGCGGCCAACTGTACCACGGGCACTATCTTAGCCATTACGTAATGGAAGGGCGAGGGAGAAGGTAATGCGCAGGCGCGATCGCGTGCGTAACTTGGATACCACATTAGTGTGCGCCAAGAGACACCGTCAGATGACGATAAAGTGCGCAGTGTAGCGTACTGCGGGCACACGGTTAGGCATTGCACGAGGGCTTCACGTGAGCTAGTAGATGAAATTGGCCACCCGCGTTTTGAGCGGGAAATTAAACTGGTCAGGATGTAGTTGAACAGTAATTCTCAGTATTTTGCAATTTCTAAACAACTCGTAAGACAACAATACCGGTTTAAGCTTTGTCAACCGGAGGAAATTGTTATAATTCAAGTTCGTGGAGAGAGGATTTTAATTGAAAATAGGCTGGATATAAAGAGACAAAGCGACCAAAGAAAGCAACAAGTAAACGGCGTAAAGCGAGTCCAGAAAATCGCGCAAAAAAGTTACAAAGGACGCTAAAATAGGCAGAATATGGCGAGAGGAACACGAAAGAGAACAGTAAAGGGCATAAGTAAAAAGGCGAGTTTCTAGCGAAGAGCAACGTGAGAAGGAAGTACAAAGTCGCTTCTGAAAACAGACAGAAAAGAGGTCATTAACAAAGAGAAGCGAACTGCAGAGGATCCGCGAAAGAAGAGGAGGTAAGTCGTGTCCTATCTGGGTTTTCTCTTACGCTAAGACCCACAAAAAAATTCAAACTTTTTTTTAGCCAATCGTCGTTTGATACTAGCTTCAGTTTTTAATTCAACTGATCACGTTTCCATCGGCAGAAATATTGGACAAGATGGCGGCCGCGCTTGCGCATTTCGCCCATAATAGCGTCCAAATAATATAAGAAACTGTATGGAAATTTGTAAAAATTTCTTAAATATAACAATGAGGAGCTCATGGTCCCGTCTGCTCTCGATCGAGACATATTCAGTACTGATTCTGCTATTCATCAAACCTCACAGGGACTCGATAAATAAAAACCACTTACTTCCCGAGCCAGTTCTTTTGTCATTGATCATTGACCTAGGTCGCCATACAGTTCTTCAAAATCCGTCGTTCTCCATCCCAAACACTCGCGTATTACAGGAAAGTGCGTCAATAAAGTCAACTGCTCTCGATCGAATTGACTGCTACAGAGTTCGAAGCGTCCAAATATCCTGTAAAATTGCCATTTCCTCCCATCAAAAAACTTCCCAACGCGTCAGAATATCCCTTATTTTCCATGTTGATTAAGTGACTAGACGCCATGTTGAAAACTGTGACTGAAATAGTTAAACACGAGCAACGCTGATCTTAGAATCGTCGGCCATATTTGTTTATGTTCTTGCAGGGAAATAAATTAGTTCTTAGGTCCTTTTCGGAATAAAAATATGCCAGGCATTAAATACAAACACTGGAAAAATTATCAAGTTTCCATGCATGTATTATTTATGGTTTTTTGGTGGTTTTGCTGTGGTTTTTAACAAAATACCATGTGTGGAAAAAGTACTCTTTTTCCACACATGGTTTTTGCACAAATCCACTGATGGTTTCTAAACTTTCCAAATGTGGAAATTATGCATACACAACATTGGGATTTATCATGGTAATTGGAATTCCCAAGAAAGGAAATCGCAATGTCCAAGATTACTTATCCCACTATGGAAAATGAAATACCATGGCAGGTTTTTCTATGGTCAAGCCCACAGATGGATAAAATTTATCACACTTGGAAAGTGGTTTTGTAGGGAAGCATGTTAATCACAATTTCCATGGAAGGAAATCTAGATTTCCAATGGAAAGGACCACATTGTGGTCACTTTAATTACCATAGCAGGTTTTTCTATGGTCAAGCCCACAGATGGATAACATTTACCACACTTGGAAATTGGTTTTGTAGGGAAGCATGTAAATCACAATTTCTATGGAAGGAAATCTAGATTTCCAATGTAAAGGACCACAGTGGTCACTTTAATTACCATGGCAGGTTTTTTGTAATGAGGCGAGTAGTGATTGAAATGTACTAAGTGGTGTATTTTAAAGTTAAAGTCACAACAAAGAAGCATTTAAGTAATGAAATTTATAATTTCGTATATGCAACAATGTACTGTAACTGTAAAGTACAAAAAAAAATAAAATAAAATACCAAGTACATTGAAAACCAATCTGGTAGTTAAAAGATTGCGACTGAGGAACTGACCCAGCCTGTACAAGAAACCTTTTCCTTTTTAAGATGATCTCTGACCCCAGGCCAACTTCCAGATGAGCAATGTTTAAGATTAAGAGCACACACAATTGCCCAGATAATGGAGTTCTTTACTAGCTTTTTTAGTTGTTTCAACCGCCAAAATATCTTGAAGATCTCTAAACAATTGCAACTGACAGGGTTTCAATGCATTATCACAGGATGCCTGTGTGACTTTCAAAGTGAAAAACACCCATTACTTCAACATTAAACCGTATGTTGGATAAAAGGCAATTGTGTAGCTCTGATTCATATATAAGCTCAACAATTTTTACAAAATATGATCAACAGAAAACATCAACATTATTTGTCCATGTACATGACAGGAGTCCATACATTTACAGATAATTTTTTTTGGCCACTTTTAACTGATCTCTCCTTTGTCCACTTCCACATAACCATGTTCCAGGAGAGCATTTGCTGTTGCCGTTATATAGGTCTTCTTGTTTTTTCCTTTTAGGAAGTTTAACACAACATTCTTGAGATTTTTTAATTCCTTGGATCTTTGTCACAGATGGCTTGACCAATGAAACCATACTAGTATCGCAGTCACATGATGCCTGTACATGTGTGACCAGTTCTGTAGTCAGGCTCAACAATTCTTACAAAATTTGATCCATAGTAATTGAACATCAACATGTGTCAGTTCTGCAGTCACTGGCTCAATTATTCTTACAAAATATGAACCATAGTAAACATCCACATAATTTGCACATGTCCATGTACATGAAAGGAGCTAGCGCTGTCTATACATTTAGAGATCAATCTTTTTGGCCACTTTCGACTGGTCTCTCCTGAGGTTGGTAAGGTCTCCCTCTTTATCCACTTCAACATACCCATGTTCCAGGAGAGCATTCGCTGTTGCCCTTATATAAGTGTTTTTATCTTTGCCTCTTAGGAGGCTCAGCCCAAACAATTTTTTGAGCTTTTCTAGTTCCTTGGATCTTTGGACATGCATCACAGATGGCTTGTCCAAGGCAACTAAAATAATGCAGTCGCACGATGCCTGTGTCAGTTCTGTAGTGGAAATTAAATGAAAAGATAAATTAGATTAGATACTGGCATAAAACAATCACAACAGAATACATTTCTATAACTAAACTGAGTGCAGCACCCCCTTTATATACTAAATTTATAAGTTTAAAAAGAACTTTTGCACCAGTTCTAAAGTACTCCCACTCTCCTGCATGCAGGGAAGAAAAAACATTCAGAAAACTTACAAACCATATTGGCAAACAGTACACAATTGGCCAAATGCAACATTTGTCATAAAAAAAATGATGTCATACATTGAATTCTGGGTACATGGATCAGTCATAACCTAGTTTGCTTTTCATGAATTACTAGGAAATTTTTTAAGAAAGTGTTTTGCTCTCAGATTCTCGTACAAACACTGTAAATTTGAGGCTGACTGATCTACCTACCCATAATTCAACACGTCACAGTTGCCATCATGAATTGAAGTCAAGAGCACTGCATTTACCCAGACAAATATTATGAAGTGTACGTGTACTTACTTGGGTTAAAATACGCCACATATTCTTTCCTCTTTTTGGTAAGATGGTAAAGGACAAAATCTACTGTTAATCGTACCACGTTGCGAAGCGACTTCCAAACATCCACGGATCGCAAGCGTGGCAAAAATGCTCGAACTGACAGTAAATATTTTACTTTCCTTCGTCTATTTTGGATTATGGAACAAGATTAACCATCACTCCTCACGAATATGTCTGTTTTGGAGGACTAGGATGGAGACAGAAAGTTAGAATTCAACATCTGTTTCATGTGTGTTTGCAGGGTAGCGTGAAGTGATAGAAAATAATTCGCTTTCGCACTTGCAGACCACCCCCCTCAAAATCTTGGCACTAACAGGGTTTAATGTACAAACCTTTAAAAAGCTCACATTCCTCTTTAAATCCTTTTCTTTCCAGCCACTGCAGAACATCTTCTACACTCCAATCTTGAGCATGCAAACAAAAAACACACTGGTTTCAGTTTCAGAGTTTGTACTGAAGGTTATTTATCTGAATTAAGCTATGCTTGGTAGGTTTAAAACCCGCGGCCAAAACCGGCCCCGCGAAAACCACCCCCCAAATACCTGAGCCGGCCAAAAAAAAAAACACACCTATGTTGACCCTGCCGTTATTCATAAATAATTTTTTTCATCTCAAATTACTGCTCTCCTGCATAAGGAAAACACCACAGTGTCATAACATTTATGTCTGTGTAAGTTGTACAGAATGATAACATACCTTTTAGTCCTGTATTTTAAGATATTTTAGGGACTTTTTACAATTTTTTTTTGTATTATTCGAGTTTCGAAAAAGACGCGCGGAGGAGATGAAAATTTTAGTTATATTTTAAAGTCTGTTTTGTGAACAGTTTGTCACGGCTGACATGTATTTTAATTCGTAAAATTGTCCTTCAGGATGTCTTTTTGTAATAAAAGAAAACTTCAGGAAATAATTATTTGTCAAAATTTACTGTGCACATGGTTTATTTTTTTGTCTCGTGCGTTTGAATTAAATGCCGTAAAAAAGCCAGGTTTTTAGGGGGTAGGTGCGCGCTAAGTCCCCAGGCGTCAATGGGTTAAAAAAGGTTGACTTTGAAAATTTTATGATCACTAATGAAAGAAATGATGCCTAGCGAAAGATGTTGCCGATCAAACTTGTACAGATTAGCTAAGAAGCGAGACATTTTCGTACAGCAACTCGTCGGCTTTCTTGATACTAGAATTAAATTTACAATTCCCTTCCTCAAATGATCTAGCATCAAGCAACCTTCCGAAACAAGATGGCGTCTGAAACCGTGAAAACAATATTCGCGCCATTTTTTTCTCCAGTGGATGGTTTCAACAAGACCTACACTTTATCAGTCAACTTGAAAGATACTTGGTTTCATTTTAAATGTTTGTAATTATAAGGTCGTGTAAATGATTTAATATTAAAGCACTGACCTTTGACGTCGACATTTTCCTTGCAGTCCTCGGCGCCCAATGATGCTGGTTCAATTGACGGTTCAATCTTCGATTTCTTTGAAACCGTTCCTCCTCTGGCAGAGTCTGGAAGTTTCCTTGCATTCCACTTCTTGAAAATCTTGCAGACTTCTTGATCCGTTTCACTTTCAACGGAATAGCTCGGACTTGACTGCGTAAATGGCGTGAAATCTTGGTCCAGAACTCCAACTTCTTCTTCCGAATCGACCATCTTCTCGCAGAAACACAAACTTCTGCAGCAGCCGAGCAAAGAGCACAAAATTTCGTCTGACGTGCAGCTTTGATCCCATTTCTGGCGGGAAACGACACGACTCACGCGGAGCTTTCTCATTGGTCGAAATTTCAGTATCCGCTGACCATAAGTTTGGAGGAGAGGTTGCAAAGCTGTTTAGCAACATGGCAGAGAAGGCGGATAAACGTTTCGGATCCTTTTTTCCCTCTTCGCGTTGCTATTGTGCTGCAAGGGTATCTGTTCATGTTCACTGCCCTTGCGAAAACTGCAAGGGTAAAGCTGTGAACCCTAAGACGCAGCAACAGCATCTTTTGTTATCAAGTCAGCGTGAATTAATCTTTGGACGTGAGGTTGAATGTAGTGCAGGTGGGTGCGCATTTTGCTAGCTTACTTTAGAAATGTCCCTGGCTTTGGTGAAGCACCAGACACAGCAGCAGTTTATAGAAGTGCCTTGGTAGAAAGGGCCCATGCTTCTGCGTGTGGAACAGTATATCATACTGGAGATGATGCTGTAGTATCTCAAGGAGCCAACATGAGCATTGTCAAAATATTGAAATTCTATTTGGTTTTTGTAAACCAGGAGTACATTCCTATTGTGACTGGTGATTCTTACCGAATTGCTACAGATGCTCTGGGTAACATTTTAAGGCACCCTCTCAGTGATACCATTGTCATTGAGCCATTTGAGACATGCACATGTTTTCAAGTACAGGATCTGATAAGAAAACTCATGCTTTATCCATTTCAACCTGGAAAGTTTGCTGTTGTGGATCCCATGAGATCAAGAATCCCTATTCCCCAGGTCCTTGTACCAGTGTCTCCCCAAGTGGGTGAAATGGTGTCTGTTCAAGGAGGTGATGAAGAATTGTGGAGAGCTGAAGTACGAGCTGTAGACCATGGACATAAAACAATCAGGGGTTATTTCTTTGTCAAACACCATCAGTGGAATGAAAATCAGTTGTGGAAAAGGGAATCCATGGGCCATGCTATGGACACCATTCACTTTAAGAGCATTGTCAGTATACTTGATGGACAGTGGCAAGGGCCTTACTGGAAGGACAATGGATATTAGACTTAATTTGAATTTGTGTATTCCTGAATATCTTTTACATTCCACTGTATGCAAATAGGGAAATGTTGTATCTCCATCTTGGATCTATGAATTCCACTCCACAATTGTCAACTGAAGTAAATTTTTGCAACAAAGAATACAATTCAATGAACAATTAAATTTCTGCAAGCCAGGGAGGAATTCTGTTTTCCTGCCTTTAAAAAATTCACTTACATGTACTATAAGAAACTGAAACTCGTAGTAGTCATTTCAAACAATTTCCACCATTGAAATTTTAAAATCCAAGTTTACTTAGTTTGGAAATTTTAATTTCCATGACAACTGTGGATTTTTTTTTTCCATGTTAAGTAATGTCAAACAATTTCCACCATTGGAAATTTAAAATCCAATGTAGTTTCCATACATCACATGGAGATTAATTAACCTGATGTGGATTTTGTATGGATATTTGCATCCTTTGAA